AAAAAATACTCCTTTGACTGATGTTTTCAGCAAGACTTTCACAAATAGTAGAATGGAGAAAAATCATATATGGCTAAGTTCTGTTTCAGAAAGTTTCAAGCTGAGAAAATTGAAATTTATTGCTAAAATTGAATGCATTTCCTAACCAGGTACTAAGAAGTAAAAATAAAAGTCTATTCCCACACAGTTTCCACGATAGAGATCTGATTTCCTTACAAAACCTCTCTTAAACTCGTAGGTTCTACTACTGCAACAACTGCTACTGCATCCACAACTACTACTGCATCCACAACTACTACTACAACAAGGCAAACAACAACTTCTACGACAACAACAGGTTATTAATTAAAATCTTTTCAATAAATAGTTGAATAATGTTTTTCTTTTAAATCCTTGCTCACGTTTTAACATAAAAACGAATTGGAATTATCCATATAATGATATAACTTCATCGTCACCATTGACATTAACTGATTGTTGTGCAGTGTGTTTAGCTACTAGTAACTGTAGAGCTTTTTCTTACACTGTTTCAATCTCAAAATGTTGGTTAAAAACATCATCGGGATTTTTTGGATCATCTACCTTAGATGCTATTAGTGGTGTAATGTGAGTTTAATATTCTTTATTAGTAAAAAAAATAATTTTATTTTTCGATTTGCACCATCATTTAATTAAATATTTTATTTTTATTTTATTTTAAAATTCTAAAATAAATTTAAGATAAATGTTTTTTATCTTCAAGATAAATTTCTCCATTTTTTTTAATATTTAAATATAATTTTGTTTTGAGAAAAATCAAAATTATTTTATGCAATTGTTATCGACAAATATTTTTCACAAACATATTTAACTAATTAGAAATAAAACTCGCATGAAAATCGATAAGCCAAAATAGTGAAAAAAGATCTTATTTAATTAACTTTTTATTTCAGATGTTAAATAATCGTTTAGTTCATATATAGGTAGATTAAATTCTTATATATATATATACAGTACTGGACAAAAGTAACTGTTCCTTCCCTGAAGTAGTACTATTTTACATGATGTTGGGCTGATATTTTGGGTGCATATGGATCTTGACGAATCTTGATCGCAGGTACCAATCTGGCATCAATTGGTTGAAATGTACTAGACTTATGACGATTTTCTGATAAAATTTTCAAGTAAATTGATCGAAACTATCTCGAGTTTGATCTGTTTGACTGACAATGAAGCATTGTGGTTTGACAGAAGTTTTCCAATGCAAAGACAATATCTCAGTCATTTCAAAGTATTTTCTTATTAACGTTGGACTGAAGATAGCTACAACAGTAGGCTTTCGAATGATGGATGACGCAAAAATAGAGCTGCAAAGGCGGCTAAGATATAGGAATTACAACATGAACATCTTGTTCACCTCATAACGTCAGTATATCTCAGTCAGTTGAGGTCGAGCTGGTGCTTGCGACCAGTATTCACCGAGGCCTACATACACCAAAAATATCAGTCCAAAATCAAGTGAAATAGTACTACTTCCGGGGAGTAGTTGCTTTTGTCAAACACTATATATATTATCGTTCTAAGGAAATTTATTTTTACAATGAAATTTCTTATTCAATGCAATGATAAACGGTCTGCATATGAAGAATATTGATATGTCACGGATGAATAGTTTCCAAGAATCGAATTTAACAATTAATTAATAGTTCATATGAAACTAATTGCTTATGACATATAATGTCACAAACGTGACTGTTTACGCCTTTTCTTCACAATTATTTATAAAAGTATCATACGAAAATATATATAGACTTTATGATGAAATATAATCGTGTCAATGACACCATCTCACAGTTCATCAGAACAGAGTAAAGAATGGTTATACAGGATGAACCAAAAGTCTTGGACCCTCTTAGAAAGATTGCTTTTTCTGGTTTATAAACAAATCCAAAAACGCTCAAAATTGAACATCTAATCTCTTGCAACTAGATAAATATTATCCTAAACTTTTATATCTCTAATCCTACTTACAGGAAAGATACATGGACTCATATTATACACAAGATTTTTCACTATATCCCAAAAAATAATGGGTAAGGTAGATTGAATGGCCAGTTTTTGCATTTCAATTTTCAATCACTTAAAACTTTGTATTAAAACAAAAAAAATATACCATAAACTACAGCATGAAAAGCTCTACGATTTACAAAGAACAGCTTATTTTATATATGAACATTTTATTTTCAAAATGGGCAAGATTCTCTGTGGCTAATTTTCGGCGCTACGAACAGCATCATTTATTGGTACACAACAACTTCCTCTTCTTATTACTTCGATTAATGAGTCACATCAAAGGCCGAATTTGGATCGATTAATAGTTACACTTGTAAATGAACTGATATTCGCGTAATATTGAGTTATGTAATACAGAAAATACGATTGTATACAGTGAAACACGAAATATATACGGATTTTGTATTCTTCGTTCTGGAATACTACTACTCGGTTAATTTGAATTCTAATATGTAGATGCCTTATTTGTTATTCTACGCAATCATTTGTACCATAGATACCATATGGTAACTATGTTACAGATAGACAGACACAGATGAATTTCCGTTTCTAGACCTTATCCTTTCGGTCTCCGGAAAAATACTTTAAGTTCAGATGATTCTTCTTTTTATGCAAATGAGGATAAAATATATCAAATTAATGTTTCGTTTGTTCTTCAAATACGTCCTTTCATTCTTTAGCAAAAGTTGTTAATACACAAACACACAAGACTCTCATGATTTCTCTGCAATGAATAAATTGATAGTCTAATTAAATTGAATATGTACAAATTGAATCAAACAAACCAATGATTTTGCTGTTGGTTTTTTTTTTCAAAACTATTATATATTCCTATACAGAAAAGAAAAGCATGCTCATGCAAGAGTAAAAAAAAAAGATGGAAGAACGTAAAAAGACAAAATTCACACCATAGAATGTGTTAATGATAAAACTCTGATAACTAGCAAAATGTTTTTCAAGAATAAAAATCGACACGAAACAAAACCAAATGTTCACTGTTGATTGAAATAAATAAAGACAATAAATAATTATTGATAAACACGCTAAAAAAAAAAACAACAATAAACCCAATAAAATATTTATTTATTTTTTTACTTGAAGATTGCTATTCGATGTTCTAATTGGTGAATGGTTTATTGATGAAAAACTTTCATGTAAATCATTTGTAGCTAATAATTTTTCTAGACATTCAAGATAAATTTTAACAATTCGTTTTATTGAATTTAAACGATCAAACATTAATTTTAAATCATTTGTTATACGTAATTGATCACCAGATAAAAGACATATTAAACGATCATTTATATTAATTAAACGTTCATTAACTATTTCAAGATCATCATGAATACGAATAAAACGATGAAGTTTTGTACGATTAATACTTATATTTATTTCTCTTTCATCAACAGGTTCTAAAGAATGACTTAATGATTCAAGATGATCTAATTGTGCACTGATTTCGAACATTGCATGTTTTATATCTTCTGCTTGAATAAGATTTGTCTGTTTAAAAAAAAGAAAATATGTTATTTGAGAAACAAATATATTCAAAATATCTACTTTGATTTCTCGATGTTCACGATTTTTTCTAGCAGATAATAATTCAAAAGCTTCTTTAATTGATTGAAGACGATGATCAATCAATAACCATTCACTTGTACCATCACTAAATTGATCAGCTAGATCCATCGTTGATTTTAAAAGTGCTTGCAATTCGTCTAAAATATATTCAAATAATATATAACAAAAAAGAAAAAAAAAAGGATTTATTTGTTTTATATGAAACCTAATCGTTGAACTTGATCACGATGTGCATCTGTTTTTGAATAAATAGTTCGAGGTACTAAAATAAAAATTTATTAGTTTAATCCCGGCGGAATTAAAATGTGAAACACAATGTAGTTGTTATTGCTAATCACAGGAAGATTGTTTTATTCTATCTATTTTGGGGCACATTTCTTCACTATCCTTTTTTTTAATTCTCTAGAAATCCAACAAGAAATTACGCGAAGAGCAAGGAGGTAGAAATGAGAATAGTCGAGTTTGCGAACCGAACACGATCCTATCATTGATAGAGAGCATGTTGCTAAGATATCTGTCACCGTCTGTGATATTTCTATGGTAATGTCTGTTATGATCTGTAGTGAGAGGTACGATGTGCATCTACACGAACGTTTTGCTAAAAATGAAAATCGCACTTTTTCAAGATTTAAATATAGAGAAATATACTTCGAAACATAGTCTATCTAATGAAATCAATAACTTTGTTATAATCCTCAAAGAAACTAAAAAATCTGGCATCCAATATTAGCCTGAAAATCGTGATATCACCGGGAAAATTGATATATATAACACATTAAACTGTTCGACAGACAAATCAAGTACATTTTCTGAATCTCTAAGTCAAGCTCTATACAACGGTAACAAATATTTTTTTAATTTGCACATTGTGTTTCTGAGTAAAAAAAAAAGAATATTTTTTTGCTACCGTGTCGTCCGAACGGCTAGTTCCATAAAATGAGCAATCCAACTTCTAAAATTTTTCAAATTTTGTCAAAATATTCTTCTATATACTGCCTCTAATTCCTGTTAGCTCAGCATTCTCGGACTGCACAGTAAATTCCCAAAACATCTAGATTTTTTAGTTTTTCTGGCTTTGGAAAAATATTTAATCAACAAAGGGAGTATATTTGAAATCAACACATTAAACTGTGTCGAATGGTATATAACACAAAATTGTTTTGAAGAAAAAATGAGAGCAAGAGTCTCTCTCAGGCAGTTCTCGTCGAAAACCTTTTCTGCATCTCATATCCAATGATTTCTGAGCAAAGAAATTCGTTTCCAAGCAAGAAGGTCATATGACTGCTTGCGATGCGAAAAATGCACATTGTGAGGGAGGAGAGGTGCAAATGTTTACCTTATATATTTCATCACCCTCCTTTTAGATCGTGTTTTACAAAAAAAAGAAAAGAAAAGAAATTATGATAAGAAAAAATGTTGTTCAACTTACATAAACCATCTAGAGTGGTAAATTGTTCAGCTGTTTGTTCAAGTTCGTCTAATTGTCGTTTAAAATGTTTCCATTGTAGACGATTTTCTTTTAAATGTTCATCTTTATCATGAGCGGAAGTTTGTAAACGATTCCATTTTTCCATAATATCTATTAAAAAAAATTTATTAAATTAAAATCAATTCATTTTATATCATTCTTACCAACAACGACTGGATCATTATTAATATCATCGACTAATAAAGGACCTAATTCTTGTTCAATTTGTTGAATTATTTCACGTAGTGCTTCAATCTTTCGACGTGTTGTTGTTAATATGCGAGTCTAAAAAGAATTATTAAGAATTTTCATTTTCTCTTTTATTTAAATAAAACGAAAATAAAAAAAAAGATTCTTTTACATAAGTAAATTCAAAAGGTAAATCTTCAACGTGAATACCAATTGGTGTTTCAGAACGAAAAGTTTCTTCTTTGGCAAGAAAATCACCATTAATTTGAACGAGAATATCTTCAAAATCAGATAAAAGTTCTTGAGCACGTTGATATTGATCACCCCATTCTATTTGATCATATGAACGAAAAAATCGATCTCGTAAACGAACATAACGTTGAGGTGAACGAGATCCTATGAATGTATCAAAATATTACATGAATAATCAATAATAAAACAATAAATTTTAAATTTACTTGATGAAGTTGGTGAAGCTAAACGTTTATGTGTTGATAATGTAGAGAAAAATGTTTCATGAAGTGGTGAAGAACGAGCAGAAGTAATTAAATCCAAATGACGCTAAAAATTTAGGAAATATTTTCATTAGCTTTTTTTTCTATATATCTTACATCGCTTGAATTCATTAATTTTTGTTTGAGTTTTTTAATACGTTTCGTTAAATCTCTTAATTGTTGACAAAATTTCGTTAATTCATTCATATTAATTGTTAGACCTCTTGCATCAACTGTTTTACTAAGTAAATAATTAGCACATGTTCGAACATATTCAATTTTAGTTTGTTTTTCTTGAATTTCTCGATCCATATCCTTAAAATGAAAATAATATTTTAATAAATATAATAAAAATAATAATTAAATTTTACATCTAATTGTCGAATCTTTTCATTTGATGATGCTTCTGATAAATGTTCAAGATTAGTTAAAAGTACATCTAAATCAGTTAACCAAAGTGCTAATGAATCTTGTGTTAATTGAAAATCACCATGTACACTTAACATATATTTAAGCTAAAATAATAAATTAAATAAAAATAAAAAAAAACATGAAATTGAATTTGCTTTTTTTTTTAATTAAATACATTTTTCATTGTTTCATGTACTGTTCCAATTAATATTTCCCAACGAGTATTAATATCTTTAATTTTTGAACGAATTTCACCTGTAGGATCTGCTGTTGGATGATTTCGAATAATTTCTGAATAATTATTTATAATTTGTTGAATATCTTTTTCATCATCATCTAATGTTCGTTTAAAATTCTTAAAAAAATTTAAATAAATAAAATAAAGATATGTTACAAAAAACAAAAATTTCTGAAAATCAAACCTCAAGACTTTTATATTCACTTCTAACACCTTGTAAACCTTGTCCACATGTTCTTTTAACTTCATTAAGAAATCGTTCATGATCAGTAATCATTTTTGATGCACGTTTTATTGCATCTTCAACAGTTTTCCATGATACATGAATTGTATTCAATCTATTATTCATGAAATATTTTATTCTATTAAAATGAAAAAAAAGAAGAAAAATTCTTTACTCAAGTTTTCTTTTTCGTATTAAATCTTTCAATGATAACCAACGTTGTTCAATTGATTGAATTGTTCGTGGTATTGAACCAATATTTCGTGAACGAATATCAGTTTCACTTAATAAATTATGACCAAGTGCTAGAACACTACTAACAATAGTACTATGTTTTTCAATATCTGCTTCGATTGCCTAAAATTTCAAAAAATATTTTTGTTTAGTCGGGGTTTTTTTTTAAAGGACACTGCCGGATTTAACGACCACTCTTTAATTGAAGTGCTTTGTGTATAGAGCAGTTCGTGGAACGTACGGTGGTGTGTAGGAAATTGCATTTTCATCAAGCTTTGACATTACGAAACTTCATATACTGGTTAATGGATTCTATACAAAATTCTTTGATGATGAAAATATGATCTCCTACATACCATCGAATGCATCGTGAACTTCTCTATAAAATGATATAGATGACTTTTCAATTCAAAGATGATGACGATCACATCCAGCAGAGTCCTTTTTTACATACAACAATAGATTGTTGATGAACACGTAATTCATTTGCATTTGATGTATTTATTGATAATGATCTTTGTAAATTTGTTTCAACAGTATCCATCCATGAACGAAGATTTTCTAAACCTTGTTCAAAATCATGAAACATTTTTAGAATTATTTCAGTCTTTTTAATTCTAAATAATAATAATAATAATAAATGAAAATATATTAATATTTATTTAAAAAGAAAATAAAACAAACCGTTTTTCAATATGTTCTTCTGTTGTATTAAGTATTTGTTCTAATCGATCAATTTGTTGTTTTAATGTTTGTAATTGTAATTGATCAGTTATATGTGTTTGTAAAACACGTGCTGCTATAATTAAATCATTAACATATCGTCGTTTATCATTAATTAAATTTCGTATTTCAGTTTTTAATATATCAAGACTTGCTTCAAGTGTTAAACCATCAATACGATGATTTATTTCAGTATTAAGAAAATGTTCAAACCATTCAATTAGACGTTTACATTTATGTTCAAAATCATGATATTCTGAACGTTTTTTTGTTAAATTATCAATTAATGTTCTTATAACACGTTCAGCATCAGTCCATTGAATTTCAAGTAAACTAGTAAAACAAAAAGAATTAATGAATAATGAAAATATTAATTTTTATTATTATTACTTCAATTTTTGCATTAATTGATTTATATCATCAGGATGTAATTCAGGAGATATCTAACATTTTTTTGAAAAGAAAAACAAAATATTTTTTTTGAATAAAATATAAATCGAAATTACTTCTGCTATTATTTGTCGTAAACGTTGTAATTCATGTCGATGTTGAGTAAGTTCACGATCTTTACTCTAAATAAATTTTGTTTATTATTTTTATGATTTTTATTATGATATAAAATTTTATTTACTTGACATTGTAAAATAAATTGATTAAGTTCATCTGTTGGTTGTTGTTGAAGTGTACGAATTGATTTTATTGAAATACTTACATTATCCAATGCATGATCAAGTTCATTATAACGACCCAATAACTATCAAAAAATAAAAATATGATTTTTTTTTTGCAAATATTTCAAAAAAAATAGAGAATTTTCAAATTTGTTCTTTTTTTTCCCTTCTGCAACTGAAAAAAACTCTCTATCTAAAAAAAAATCAATCTATGATAAGCAGATGAGCAGAATCTATGTTAACGTTAAAAAAAAAAAGGAATCATGCGTCTTTCGAAGAATAAGAGCAAATCAATGAACATGCACAAACGTTGATATTATCTATCAAAAAATATTGTATATGTATATATGAGCTGAAAATAAATGATAATGACGTTTTATTGTATTTTCTAATCTCGAATATTCATGCGATCATTAAGCTATACTGATTACCTTCTCCTTTCGAGGACTTTTTCGATACTAGAATAGAATAATATTTAGGTAACAAAACAATATTAATATTATGAATTAATCAAATCAATAAAATTTAATTAAATTACAAAAAACAAAAAAAGAATGACTACCTTAATAAGTGTTTCAAATCTTTGTTTAATATTAATATTAATTTCATTAGCTGATTTTTGTAAATCATTCCATTCTTTTTCTAATATTGTTTGTGTTTTAATATCTGAATATGCTATAAGTCGTCGATTTATTTCATAAATTTTTTCTAATAAATTTTTTAATTCTTCATTTTGTATTGAATTTAAATAAGTTCCTTGTTTAATTTGATTAATTAATGCAATTGTTGGTAAATATAATTGTTCTTGTTCAAATTCATATTTATTTTTAAGTAAACGATAATAATTTTCTAAATAATTTTGATATGATAACCATAATTTAATAATATCTTTTATTTCTTGTTGTTTATTTAATATTGTTTTCATAATTATTTGCCAACGTTGTTCAAGTTTAGTAAATGTATATTGATCAATAATTAAATTTTGTTCAATTAATTTTTTACCTTCATTAATTAATTGTATTAATTCTTGTTGTCGTTGATTAAAATCATTAATTATATTTGATAAATTATTATCAATTTCTAATAAACCATGATAATTTGTACGTAAATTTAATTGTATAATTGCTAAATTTTGTTCAATAGCTTGTATATAATCATTCCATTTTTGACAACGTGTATCAAAATTAAATTTATTATATTGATTTATTTCAAGTTGTTTTATACGATTTTTAATTAATTCAATTGTATGTGTATATTCAATCATAATTTCATGTAAATGTTTAGCACGTTTAAAATATAAAATAAATTCATTTGAATTTAAACGTTCAATTAAATCATGTTTTGATAAAAGTAATGTATGATATTCATGAAGTTGTTTTAAATTATTTATTTCATTTTCATCATTTAATTGTTGTGATTTAAAATCTATTTGAACTTGATTTATTGTTTGTATTAATTCATTTAAATAATCTAAATAAATTTTTTCACGTTGTTTTAATTCATTATAATCACTTTGAAGTTTATCATGAAATGTACATAATTCTGAATATTGATTTTTAATAACTGAATATTGTGTATCAATTTTTTTAGCAACTATAGAAGGTAAATGATTGCCTAATTTTTGAGCACGTTCATATAATCTTGTTATTTCATTATCAAGTTGTTGAAGACGTTGTTGAAAATCCTAAAAATTAAGTAAAAGTAGAACAAAAATTATCCTTAAGAGATTCGCATAATATTAACAGTAATCATAGTTTAGTTATGGTTGTATTGAGATATGTCTACAAGAATTTTGTTATATACTCACTTTTGTTTTGTCTAAAAGTGATTCTATATCTGATGTAAATTTTTCTCGTTGAATTGTATACCATCGAGCTTCAAGTTCACCAAGTCGATCAAGTAAATGAACATATGAACTATTAAATTGTCTCCAATTATCGACTATTTCTCTTGATGGTCTAATAATTTCTTGTAAACGTTGTTCAACAGTTGTCCATTGTTGTTGAATACGATGTGTTATTTCATTGATTTTTAATGATGTTTGTCCATCACATTGACTGGATAATTGACGACCTTGAGAAACAATTTGATCGAGATCATTTCGATGTAATTCCATGATTTGTAAGTGTTCCTAAAACATATTCAATAACAGTTCAATCAAAGATACTTTTCATATAAAATTTTCATAAAGACAACAAAAAAAAAGATTACAATATTCTTGAGTTATTCTTAAAAAAATATGTCATTGAGACGATCATATGTAATATAGGTTCATGCGATAGTTCATATCTGTTTAATAGAAATCTTGGTATTGGACATTCCCACGTTTATCAACTGGCAAAATTATTGCTGACATTAAACGTTATAAAAACTCAAATCAGCGATTTCTTTTAAAGCTTCTTATCATTGGTAAAATATTTACTAATTTATTTAAGTATGTAATATAAGAGACTCGTAGAACCATTTTGTCAACGTTTTACAGCACAAAAGAGATGTTAAATGAGATTTAAAGATGTTTGCCAAAAAACAAAGAATATTGCACATTTTGTTTTATTTTAAGATCTTTTTCCTATTTATTAAAACGTAGTCAAAACTTGTTTTCGAATCAACTATCCCAGAATTATTATCAACGCCAAAATACAAGGCAGATTGATGTTTTTTGAATAACTTTCGATAGGAACACCATAGAGATCTGCGGTTTTCATCATTCAAAAGAAAAGATTCGAGGGCACCGAAATATATCAAAATATGATGACTCAGCAATTGGCCAATCAGGTGAGTTCTTGATGGAGATTTTTGAAAACGATATTCTGAAACCATCGTCCTTCTAATATAGACTTACAATAGAACCAATCGATAGAAAATTTCATCTCTTTTGATCTATGCAAGGCCCGACATTCCTAGTCTGTTTCGTTCGAGTGTAATAAGGCATTCCCTGAGACTTGCGATCATCTGAAAAACCGCTAGACAGGGAAATTCATCGTGCTGAGTTGAATGGTAATATTTGGTATTGATCGAACACTGTTATTTCAATATTTTTGAAATTACACAATCAGTCATCATATGTAATAAGGAAGTCGACATTTCGGAAATATCACTAGTGGCTTTTCCAGGTGATCGCAGGTGAATTGACTGAAATCAAGGGTGTAACGAAAGCCTTATAATTCTTAAACAAAACATGTTAGAAATGTCGACCTTGTGTGAATTAAAAGCGAAGAATTTTTCTTATCGATTGATTATATCATAAGTTTAAATCAAAAGTGTGATGACTTCTGAATATCATTTTCAGAAACCTCCACCATAAACTTACATGATTGACCAATTGCTGACTAATCAAATTTAGATATTCTTCGGTGGCTTCAAGTTTCCTCTCTTGAATGGTGAAAATCACAGCTCTCTATGATATTCCTATCAAAAGTTATTCAAAGAACATTGTCCTATCTTATACTTTGATGTTAATAATAGTATAAAATAGACTCTTTTTTATATGAATTTATCAATAATCTCCTATTCATCTTTAATTTTGGTAATAATACAGAAAAATCCATCGACCATATTATTATTACCTGAACTTTTCTTGTACTCATTTCATAAGTTTCAACATTCATTGCACTTGTTTGAACACGATCAATACCAGCTTCAGCTTCACGTATAATTTTTTCTATTTGAAGTAAAACACGATTATATTCTTGCCAATCAGATAAAATTGATTTTGATTTTAATTTTAATTGTTCAATTGATGGTGATAAATGATCAAGCATATGACGTAAATTTTGTATTGTACCATCTTGATCAGATATACGAAATGTTGTTGATGTTGATGATATTCGATTACTATATGATTTTAATGATGTTAGAATTTGTTGTTTAGTTGTTAATTGATATTCAATTTCCTATTAAAATAAAAAGCAAAGCAAACAAAAAAATAAGACTTATTCAAACAATTCAAATACGAAAAAAAAAACAAATAATTTACATCGCATTTTCGTAAATTATCTTTAACACCAGCTTCCATATTTCTTGAACGCATAAATTCAAGATCAGATGTTTGTTCTTGAACCCAATCAGATAATGTACGAACCGTTTGATCAAATTCATTGAATTGATCATTTAATTGTTCTAAAGTCTATTATAAAGAAGAATTGAAATATTATTATAAAAATTTTTATTGGAGAAAACAAAAAAATTTTTTATTATTCTTACATCAATACGTGCTGAAATTAATGATTTTATTCTTATCCAATCAATATTAATTTGTTTAATTTTTTCCATATAATCAATACTTGTTACATCTACATTTGCTTCTTGTTGTAATGATTCATTGAGAAAATCAATTGTCATTTGATGATTGAGTACTTCTACACGCATATCCTATATAAAAAAATAATTATAATACATTTGAAAAATAGAAATTCATAGAATAGAATAGAAAAAAAAAACGAAATTATTGAAATTTTTGTCAAATCAAGCGAATCTTATCTCATCAAATATCTTTTCATTTCCGATGTTTGTAAGTACTAATAACGAAACTTACTAAAACAATTTATTGAATTCATTTACAATGAATTACATTTAATGATGACTATCGAATTTGCTTGCAATTTAAGTTTCTCTTCGTATTAGAAAATTTTGAATACCTTACTCTTGTTACTAACCTTCCCTATAACTAAAACTAGATGTAGCTCTGAATAGAAGGCTAGTCTGACACAGAGTTCTTGTGCTCAATTTCTTGGGCTTCCCATACATAGTAACTGATCACAAGAGCAGGTGTATATTACAACGTAGTCAGGATGCTATCGAACGAGTGATACAAGACAAACTGTGGTTAGTGAATTTTTCAAGATCATTGATGTCTATTGATACTAAGGTTTGAATGCAGTGTCTTTTGAATACGTGTCGAACAACGTAGTCACTCAGCCATGATGGTCTATTACTATCAGAGAACGTCACGGGAGACGTGTCCTGCATATGAAGGAACACGATATCTAGATTACCTCATTGATCATGATCTAATGAAGTTCTGATCTATTAGTGAAATTTGTTGTGATTTTCCCTTTATCATCTATAGTGAACAGGAGAGTAGATGCTGTACCAGTGACTATTAGTTCGGGAAAAGATTATTTAATTCGTCTGAGTTGATATTCACTCAAAGACGCACACGTTTATCACCAAACCAAATTGATAATATATTATTTATTTGTGTTACTGAAATGTCGATTCCAAAAACAGAACTAAAGTTTTCGAACAGCTCACTTCCTATCAGAGAAACTAGTTGAAAATTTCTTTTTCTCATTTGATCTAAACTTTGAACTAAGAACTGCTCGACCCATACATGTATACTCATTCAAGAAGATGGTAGAAGACTGGTTTTTTTTGGCAGATGTTCCATGGAATACTATCAAAATTGTAAAACCAAATATATTTCTAGTTGCTTTTAAAATTTTCATAGATCAGTAAAGGTGTACACATATCTATTGTTATGCTACTTCCTATTATAAGAACCCTGAGACTGTTTGGGTATATTTAAATAGACAATATTAATTACGGTTCATTCATTCTTGGGTGAAATATTTGAAATAAAGCAGTAGTAGAGTGAGTCTTGAAAAGTAGAAAGGATTTCACCGATTCTAAGTTTAAATGGAAAAATTTTTGTCAAATTATAATATAACATCCAAAAGACAGAGAGTTTCTAGTAATGTAATTCAAAAAATATGTAGTGAGTTTGTTGCACAGATAGCTACATCATACATTTACAACATATACTTAAGTATATATCAACAACTTGATAAACGTTCGGATTTTTTTGGAAACTCTAATTAAATACCACAGTAGTCGCCAAAAGTCTCGCTATCAGATAAAAAGTATCTAAAGTTTAATCCTTTATTTTCATAGTGTGATCACAAATAGAACATCTTGAACTCTGATCGCAAGAACTTAATCGGTCTTCATTTGGAGCAGCTAGAAAGTCAACATAGATTTTTTTCTTCAGACAAGGATATCTCAACATAAAACACATTCTATTATATTCCTAAACGAACGTATATGCAAAACAAAGTCGTCAAACTTTTGTCACGCCTGATTTATGCTTTATTCAACGTTCTTATATGAAAATATAATAATTATGTAAGTATTTCTTCACGAAAAAAAAAATATGAATAAGAAAAGATTAATTTACTCGATATCGTTTAAGTAATTTTTGTAAAGTTTCTCTATTATTAACAGGTGCACCATGATCATCATCCAATAAACGTTTAATTGTATCAATAAATAAAAGTATTTCTTTACAAGCTTGTCTTGATGGTAAATTATTAATAATATTTTGATGAAGAATATTTTCACTTCGTAAAATATCTGTCTATAATAAACAAAAAAAACATTATTATTATTATTATTATTATTATTATTATGTAAATTTTATTATTATTTTACTTTAAGTGATGTCCATTTACGATGAAAACTTTCTAATGCTGCTTCAGTTGATTGTAAATCATATAAATTATAAGTTGCTAAACGTTTTATTAATGCTTCTGTGTTTGAATAAACATCTCCAATACTTTCAAGACGTTTTTCTACTTCCTAAAAATAATTAATTAATTAATTAAAATAAATAAATAAATAAATAATTTTTACCATCATTCGTTCTAATTGATTTTTCATTTCGCTTATATCTCCATCATATCTTGTTCGTGATTCAATTGAACATTGACTTAATGTATCTTCAAGATTAGTTAAATTACGTTTTATATCATTAACAATAACAGTTGCACTTTTATGACTAAATAAAATAATCAAAAACTAATTGAATAAAAATAAAAGAATTAATTTTACCTATCAGATTTTTCTCTAATATCATTTGATATTCTAATAAAATTATCTTTTACATTAATAATATCATTTTCTAATGAAACAACATTTAATTCTTTACAAAGATTTTGTATTTCATCATTTAAATGTAATAATTCTGGTTCGATAACAATTAAACGATGTCTTAAATCCTGTAGACAAAAAAAAGACAAATTTTCAAAATTTATTTAAATAAAAAAAATGAAACAGCTGTTAGCGCAATCCATGCGGGATTAAAATCCGAAAGCCAATGTAGCTGCTATTCCTCAACACAAAAGGTTTGTTTTATTCAATCGATTTCCTTCAGAAATTCAATAAGAAAGTAATTCATATATTATAACAATACATTATTTCTATACGGTCTTGCATCGCATATTAATCTATGGTGATCTCTATCTAGTATCTGTCACGGTCAGTGACGTTCCTATGATTACGTTTGTCATGGCCTGTGGGAAGGAGAGTGGCCTAAATTTCGTTAATAAGATTTTTCGCCAATGGCGAAAGCCTTATTAGTGAAATTTCGGAACTTCGTCGGTCTGTATTTTTGCCTCTATACCCAGGGTTACCAGATCAAACAATCTATAAATCAAAATTTCGGTACCGAAAGTTCGAAATGTTTCTGTAAGAGTTTCAGGGAAAATTTAGATAGTAGTTATTTAATGTTTAGACACATCTATTACCTCCTTTTATTGAAACGCTAGTATTTATTTGTGCAATAGAAATACTGGAATGGGTAATAATTAAAATACGATTTAGTAATTATTTTTGAGCAATAAAAAACTTTATTTGAGTAATTTTATATTATTAAATATACAATAATTAATTCATTAAGTAGCAGTAGTAATTTCATATTTTAGCAATAAAATAAAGAAAAACTACATTATTTTATATGAATTAGAGAAATAAAAAAGTTATTTAAAATTGAAAAAAAAATAGTATATTATTCTGTGAATAAAGTTTTTTTTGCTTTAGATTGTCTGCCTTCTTTTCTTTTTATATTTTATTTTGTAAAATTAAAAAAATATGTATTTGTATATATAAGTGAATTCATATTGTCCTTTGTTAACGGGTGATTGATCTAATACATCAATACTAAACTACTACTTTATTGGAGAAATTGTAATTATATGTGTAAATGAGCTAGGAAAAAACCAAACACCCTAGAAAGAAAAGATATATAAGCAACTCACACTATAATACCCTTTTTATATAAAATTTATCTTTAATTTAAATAAATTATTACTCATTCAGTATAATTATTGCTCATTCCATATAGTCATTACTAAATTTCCATTACTGCTCATTTTATTTTTTTTTATTGCTAAATTTCATTATTGCTCAATTAAATATAAGTCTTATTGAAATATGTTTTTTTTCCTATCAGTATTTTATACGAAAACTGTTAGTAACATCGTGTTTCCTTTTTTGGTTAATCTCACCTATACTCAGATTCAAATCCACAAACTCATCATTCACGACTGAATCTAATTCAGTTTAATACGTTGGAATTATGAATATGAAAAAATTCCTTATTTAACTTAAAACTCAGTTTATAAGGGCGAAATTTTGTTTATTCAAATGTCTTGTCTATACTTCAACACTCATTTTAGATTATGTTTTTTACAAAAAAAAAAATTTTTTTTTTGAACCTTATAAAGAACAAAAGCTGCTTGAATTTGTTCAAAATGTAATAATCGTTTTGTTAATGGTAATTGTTTTTGTATTTCATCTATTTGATGTCTAATATCATCAAGTCTTGTTTCATATTCTCTCCATATACGTAATAAATATTCATAATAAATTGTTTGTTCAATAATTTTATCTTGTAATTCATTTGAACGTTTTTCTAAATCATTATGTTGTTTTAAATAACGTGTACGTGTATCATGATCTAATTTATCATATAAAATATTTAATTGACGATGTTTTTCAGCGATTTGTTCATTATAAATTTTATATTCAGATAATTGACGTGCATATTGATCACTTGTAGATGCAACTTGAATAGAACGACTAAGACGTTCCATTGTTAAATTAAATATATCTTCATATAATTTACATTCATTAAGATAAATATCACGAGAACGTTCAGCTTGAAGTAAATATTGACGACGTTGTTCAAACTAAAGATTACAAAAAAAAAAAAAATTTTAAATATTCAATAAACGAAAAAAAAATGAAATACTTGTTCTCTTAAAAAGGTAATCATTGATTGAAGAAGATGAATTTCAGATGGTAATGGCATAGAACTACCATCTTCAATACACATAGTTTGTCCATGTTGTTTTAATTGTGATAATTCATCTTGATATTGATCTAATTCTTGATTTTGCATCTATAAAATAATTTAAAAAAAAAAAAAAAAACTGAAAATTAATATGATATAAATTTTTACTCGTATAAAATGAAGTTGTTCTTCAATTGAATCTTGTGTATTAATTTTTCGTTGTTTAAATGTATTTAATTTATCTTGTAATAAATTTATTTCATCCATAAATAAATGCCATTCACGTTCACGTTGACGTTTACGTCGTTCTCGTTCTTCATTTTGACTTTCAAATTTAATCATTTGTTCATCAAGTGCTTTTAATGCATCTTCAATTGACTGAAATAATAAAAACATTTGATTGTTTTTTTTTATTTTAATTATTTAGAAAAAATTCATGTGCTCACTCTGCCAGGTATTTGATAATCATGCTGTACAAGTGAAGAAAGTTTATTTAGTGATTCTTGATAAGTACGATGTTTACGTTGTTGTTCATCTACATCCTATTAAAACACGTGATATATATATACACATGCATCTAGTTTAATAATAAGCAATCAAGAAAAATTTAAAAAAAAAAAGAACTACAAAACAAGTCTAATAAATGTACATTTGAATAATTCGGAAGACTTGTTTTTTAGTTTATGAGAGAGTGGCAGCTGAAAGTTTTCAATGTATTTTTTAAAAATTTTTTTCGTTCCGTGAACTTTTGAAATGAGAAATGAAGAGAATAATGTTAAGAAAGTAAAACATGAACATCTCTGAAAATAGAATCGGGACATCGAAAATTTAGATGGCCTGATAATAGTGGTGTTTTAATCGTTCGGCTGACACATCTATTTAGGGCTAAGACTATAATTTGATAATTACAGTATTTTTAAGGTAATGACATGAGAACAAGATTTTGAAAGTTTCAAACAAATGCATTTTGATTTCTATGTCCTAATCCATAGAAGTGATTATTATATAAAATAGCCTTTCCAGCTCTTTTTATTAATGAAAGTGTTTACAATTTGGATATAACTTTTATATTTTCATATAAGTTTAATTTGTATCTAATTAATTAAATGTAGATAGATTATCATGCGTGTCCATTTTTTTTTATAGAAAAATAAAATCTAATTTTGAAGACTTTCAATAGGTATAATAAGTTTTAAAGAGGTTATGAACTTCTATACATGCACTATTAATAAATTTTTATTCATTATTTTACTTTGATTGTTTTCTTAATAAATGTTGTTCGAGTTTCAAGTTCTATAACTGTTTCAGCAAAACGTTCTTTTAAATGTTCAATTTCTTGACGTAATCTTTGTAAAGTATCATTTGGTAAATTTGAACTAAAAAAATAAATATAATTAAGTTTTCTAATCCTGATCAATAATTATGAATTTCCAGTCAGAAAACTCGAAACAATGGTAGGAATCCAGTGATCATCGTGTATGGCATTTTTTTTTCTTGGGCTTGAGTTCCGGACAGAGTTGATCATCGGATTCCTATTCGTAAGTTTCTACTATTTTTCGGCTGGAAATGACGCGTGTTTCTGAACCTAAGAAATCACAATATTATCCTTCTAACCTATTGATATTTCTTAGCAATAAATCAATATCATGTGATTTTTCATCAATAAGTTGGCGTTTTTCAATTAAACGTGCATGTTCTCGTTGAAGAGAATCTAAATCACGTTTATCACTTAATGGTTCATATTTATGTGTTTGTTTAAGCCATTCAAATAAAAATTCAATACGAGTACGATAATCTTTTTGTTGTTGATTTTGATTTTCATATTCCTTTTTAATCAAAAAACAAATTATTTTAATATAATTTCATTTTAAGAATTTAATTACTTCTTGTTTTCGAGTTACATTTGTTTTTATTCGTTCAATATTACCAATTAATTGTTGTATTGGTATTGATATAAGTTGAACAATTTGTGGATAATCATGTATTAATGTATTTATAATTTGTTTTCGTTTATCTAATTCAATTTGTATATCATGATAACGTTGTAATTTTTCATCAGTTGTTAATGTTTGTTCAGTGATTGTATCATATGTTCGTTGAATATTTTCAAGCCATTGTTCATAGAATAAATATTGTTTATTAAATTCATTTAATTGAAAATGCATTTTTTGACTTAAATCTAAACGTTGTTCAAGATTTTCACGATGACTTGTCATTTCATTTAAAAGTCGATCAACTTCATTAAGCTAAAATATATTAAATAAATATTTAAATATTGATAATATAAATAAAAACTTTTAAAAAAAAAAACGAAGGTTCGTGCCATTAAATCTTTCTTCGTGAGTTATGCTCGTTTTACTGAAGAATATGTAGTCTATTGCAAAATTTTATGAAAGAAAAAACACCAACAAGTAATTGTCGACTGAAATTTTCTCACTGTAATAGATTTCATGATGCTTTTAGTATTTTGAAAGTAGTAATGTTTGTTGGTTCATTAAATTATACAACAGGTAAAATGAGCATAACTCGAAGAGAAAGACCTAATGGCATGTGCCCTTTTCAGATTTTTATTCTTACTATGAGTCCTATTTATGAGCTCAATAGGATAATGCCAAAAGAAGGTGGAGATATGTTTTTCATAGGTTCTACTCGATTTAACACTTAAGTAATAAAATTATTTACAAATCAAACATAATAAATCAAAATGAACGTATTCTTCCGAACATGATGTTTTTCTTTGTAAAGGATTACCAACTCAGCACTAGAAATCTGTAGAATGACGAGAAAAAAAAACGTTGTCTCAACCAGAACTAAAGATTATAAGTAAATATTCTATAATTTTAAATGAATTATCTTATAAATCATATCAACTAAAAAAAAATCATAAAACGAATAGAAAAGATTCTTTTTTCAGACGTGATACGAATAAATTCTGAAACAGTTTTCTCTAGACTGGGATCGAAAAATCTTGACATCGCACATCTCTATCTAGGTTACTACCGGAAATCGAAAACAGCTTGACTTCAGCTAAGTATTAACGTGTACTTATTGGAATTATATAGCAAAATCATGCTTTTCTTTCGAAATTGCTAAAGATTTATGTGTCATGGAAACAATCTATTGATTTTTTTTTCTTTATATAAAATATACCTTTTGTGCAGCTTCTGGTGTTCGATTTGTTTGAACTAATCGATTAAGTCTATTTCTTAATCGTTGTAAATTTTCTAAAGAAGTTTGATATTCAAATAAAAAATTTTTTGCTTTTGGAATAAGTTGATCAAATATTTCAACATTTCTTGTATTAATTAATTCATTAATTAAATTTCGTGTTTGTTTTAACCATTGTTCACAAGTGATATTAATATTATTATATAATTCAGTAAGATCTTTCATTTCTGCCATATTTTCTTCTTCACCTATTAAATCTTGTTCAAGTTGAGTCCATCGGCGTATTATTTCATTAAGACGACGTCTTACACGTTCACGTTCATTTGTATCAATTAATTGTGATGATAATGTTGATGAAAGTAATTGTAAACGATCGATTAATGAACGATGTGTTTGCATTTCATTTGTTAAATTCTTTAAAAAGACAAAAAAAATAAAAAATAAAAAACATTTTAATTTATTTTATAAGATTTCTTATTTTTATACTTTTAATAAATCTAAATTTTGTCGAAGATCAATACTATGTGATTGTTGTGTTTTAGTTTCAATTATTTGAATTATTTTTAATAGATTTTCCATAAGATTTTCATATTCATCACGTATAATATTAAAAGCATTTAATTCAGTTTCTTTTTCATTAAAACGTGCTCTTACTTCAGCCATATCTTCAATAATACGTGTAATCATTTTATCTAAATCATCAGATATATTTCCATATACATGTTTATAATCATTTAATGATTGTTCAAATAATTTATAATTTATTGTTAAATCATCATCAATTTTCTATAAAAAAAAGAAGAATTGATTTTGAATTTCAAGATAAACAAAAAAAAAAAACAACAAACTTTAAGTTTTTGATCAGCTTCATCATTTATTGTTGGACGTAGTTCAATAAGTTGAACTTTTGTACGTTGAATTATTGATAACATTGTACGAGCATTTTGTCGTAATTTTTCTTGTTCTTGAACTTGTTGATCAAGATTTTCAATTGTTTTTGTTGTTTCATTTTTTAAACTAAGATTGAAAAAAAAAAACAAAAAACAAAAAAAAAGATATATGTTTACTTAAATTACTTTAGAAGATCTTGTAAAACATCTTCTTGTTTCTTTTCTAATAAACGAATTATTTGTTGATCACATTTTCTTTCAGCTAATGTTAATATTAAATCATTCACTTCAGATAAATGTGACGCTTCCAAATCAACATCTTTGATAAAACTCTTCAAGAAAAACAAAAGAATTAAAACATTATATTAAAATATGTTCTATACATTGGAAATTAAAGCTCGTCGGATTAGTACCTCACCCGATGAGATCTATTAAAAACAATATTTTGTTACAATAGGACATTCATTTTATACAAGAAAAGAAATCGATTGAATATTTTCTCACGACAGAATCATACGAAAATGTTTTAAATAGAATAAAACTCTTCTAGATAATTTTTATGAAAAAAAAAAAGAAACTTTCGAATTGTTTATTAATAAAATTAAATAATATAATTATATACTTTCATATCTATTGATTGTCTAGTTAAATCGATACTACCATAACCACTATCAATACTTTGATGTAATTCTTGTCGTTTACGATTTGTAAAAGTTTTAACTTTATTTAATATTTTTTCAATACGATCTCGAAGAGTTTCATTTTCCTAAATAGAAAATTTTTGTTTTTTATTTTCAAAATTAAAAAAAAAAAAAAAAGATTTTCAAATCTACTTCACAAGATCTTTTTGCTTGATCAAGACTATTTCGAACAATTTCCACTGAACTAGACATATCTTTTAATTGCCGATCAATATCTGATGAACTTGATACATCTAATGATTTTTTTAAATCACGTCCAAGATATTGTAAAGCTGAAAATGTTGAATCAATTTCTGAAATAAGTGTTTCCGCACTCTATAATATAGAAAAAAAAACCAAAAACAATGATTAAAATATTCTTTTGCTTTTTTTTTTGTTTTTACATCTGGTGCTTTTTCAATCATATGTAAAAGTCGATCTATATCAGATTGTAAACGATTAAGACTTGAATTAAATCTATTCGATTTTTGATGAATTTCATCTAATTCTTTACGACGTTGATGAATACGAGTTTCTAAAAAGATTTTGTTTTTTTATAAATCAAATAATTCTCTGTGTATCTCTATTTTTTACCAAGATCTTCAATAGTTTGATGAAAATTTCTTAATTGACTATCACATAATTCTTTTGCATTATTTCGTAAATGTGGTCGAAATATATCAACTAATTTATGTGCTTCAGCTAAACGATTTGTTTGTTCATGACATATTTGTTCAAGAGACTAAAGTACAAAGATAAATGTAATAAAAATTCATGCAGTAGAATAATAATAATAATATACGTGTAATTCACGTTCATGTTCATCAAGTCGATTACGATCATATCCATCAAAAAATGGTGCTAATTTAAAATCAGCATCACTAAAAAACAAACAAGAAAGTGATAAAAAAAACAATTTATTAACTCAATTAAGAATTTTAGAATATTCATACCAAATAGCTGTTTTAATATCTGTAGTTAATTTAAGATATTGAGTCATACGTTGATGAATATCATCAAGAAGAGTACGTCGTTTATTTAAATGACTCTATTAAGAAAAAAAATTATAAAGGATCCTATTGGATAAGATGATCATCATTTATTTGAAAAGTCACCGATATCGTTTTGCAGAGCAACTCGCGTCGTATCGAATAGTATATGGAAAATGACTTTTTCATCAAGTTTTTATGTTCTGAGAAGCCATATACTTCTATCTTGTGTAACTTTTAGCTTTGATGATGTTTGTAATTCTTTGATATCATTCTTAAAAGCAAAGGTGACTAACTATGCAACTTTCTTAGATATGTGCCACCCTCATCATGAGCTATTATTTGATATATATATTTCGAAAATGAAGAAAATTTTCGTTGTCCGACTCTTGAAGGGAAATACGGGAATGGGCAATTACAAAGATTAGTTTTTATTTTATTTTGTTCCTTACGAATTTAGATTCTGAGTAGTTGGATGTGATTAGATTATGGAGCTCTATGATATTCAATATATGTTCGGTCTCTTATGAGAATAAAAAAAATTTTGCACAACACTATACTTCCTTCAAGAGTTCGAAAGCAAAATTTTTTTTTCTATTTTTAAAAGATTCATATATGTCAAATGATTAGGCATGATAAGCTGATTATTAATAGATAGAAACTTTTTCACTCAAAAATATTCATCGAAAAACTCATTACTTTTCTATCCTTATAGGAATCGAAAAATTGACTACTCTTAGGCATTGATTGGCCGATTTAACCATGACACGCATCAATTCGAAGGACAAACAGTTTGCATACTTATACAGGTTGATGCCATACAGTTTCAGAGAACGTTGCACAGTTAGTCGATATCAAAGAATTTAAAATATCATGAAAACAGAAAATTACAGAAGCTAGGAGGAATGTTAAGATTTTGCATATGAAGAAAGTCTTCATCAGTATTGTTAGATATACATGATTGAAGACAAGACAAATCTCTATTGAAGTAACTTAGAACAAAATTTGATATAGATTAGTTTGGAGACATATTGAGTCCTAATATTTGGTCACATCATCCACAGGTGTTATAATACCCTTTACTGATATATGACTTCTTAAAACATAAAAGTTTGTTGAAAATACAATATTCTATATATTATTCGATGTGGCACACGTTGTTCTACAAAATGGTATACATGACTTTTCAAATGAATGGTAGCCATCTTAGCCGGCAGGGTCTTTTCCAGTGACGGATATAGAATTTCGAGAAAGAGGACGATCAAGGTCACGAAGTGTGTTTTGACGTTCATTACAGATCATATCGGCTTATTTTTAGGCGCTTTCTACTGAGAAAAATCCAAAGATATTTCGGTAGGGATGGATGATCATCTTCAGTGTCTTTCTTCTTCTAAATCCACCACTGGTTCTTTATTAAAATTTTATAATCATTTACTTTAACTTGATGTTTAAGTTCTTCGAGAGTATTTAATCTTTCATGAATTTCTTTATCATTTGAACTAATTAAATTTGGTTCATCACGAAGTGCTTGATCAAGTCTTAATAAACGTTGATCAATTGATACATCAAGTTGCTAAATAATTTTATATTTATTTTACAATTTTATATCAAAATAAAAAAAATAAAAAGACTTACTGTCATTGAATCTTGAATATCATTAACATTATTTAATGATAAATTAAGATCAATTGGTTGTGTTAATTCTTGTATAAGTCTTTTAAACCAATCATTAATAGCAATTAATTCTTCATTAAGTTTATTTTGTGTTTTAACCATATGTTCATGTTCACCACGTGCTTGTTGACATGTTTTCATAAGTGTTTGAAGATATTCTTGATGTTGTTCAATTTTTTTTTGTAATTGTTCATATTGTGAACGTGGAAGTTCATGTTTAAGACGTTCAGCAAGTTGAATTAATTTATTTAATCCTTGTTCACTTTGTTGTAAACGTTCGAAAATAGTCTAAAAAAAAAATAATCATTGAATTCGAAGAAATACTTTGAAAAAAGTTCAATGTTCTTTTTTTTGTAATCAGATCAATCACAGATATATGTTTCATTTATAGATTTGCAATATGCGTAGAGATCTACATAATAGATGATATAGTTAGTAAGATATTAAAGATTACTTTTTATATTTAATAGAAATTATAAAACCTAACTGAATCCATCAGGATACTATAAGTTTAAAAATACAGAACATATTCTCAAAATGAAGAGAAATTTGACAAGGAACATGGCATCTAAAATGAAATAATTGATCTTGTTGCATAGAAATTACTTCCGAGAGAATGTTCTTAACTTGAAAATTACTTTTAAGTCCTAACTCTTTACATAAGTTAGACATCAATGAAATATTAAAAATCTTAAATAGATAAGGGTATCTAGACTTTCTATACAAAGTTATAACCATTGCAGTAAATTTTTAGCTTATAACATAGTATATACAAAAGAATTAAATGACGATATTTTGATCTGAAATTTTGTTCATATTTATAACTAGCATTTACTTAAAACTCTACTAAGTCATCGCGAAACTGCCAAGACTCAAAGGTAAATGATCAGAGGCCAAAATTTATCTTGTTACTTCGTCCAAAGTTTATGAAGTACGTAATGATGATAGTGAAAGAATAACGAATGCCGCTTTTGTGATTTCTTTACTACGGTTTATGTCAAACACTCATTTCATTTTGTTTTTTAATTTTTCAAATAATCTCATTTATGAAATATTTTACATGGATAAAAAATTAATTAAAATGACACAATCTGTCAAAATAAAAATCTAACCTGATAAGCCATTCCTTTATCTTGTTGATGTTGAGCTGATTTTAAATGTTCAGATGAAATTTGTAAATATGATTCAAGTTCTTTTTCTAAATGATGAAAATCATTTTCAGTTTGTAAAGCTCTTTCAATTTTTTCAATTTCATTATGAATTTGTCCTTCAAGATTTTTTAAATTAGCATTTAATTCACCACCTATACGAAAATCAATTCGATGTCCTTTACTAGTTAATAAACGTTGTAAACGTGTTAATTCTTTTAAATTATTATTTATTTCATCAAGACGTTTTAATAATTGTTTAAATTGTTCTAAACGTTTTTCAATTGATAATAAATTATCATGACGATTATCATCAATAGATGATGATTGTTGTTTTAATTTTGTAAAATCATTTTGTAATTGTTGATAAAGATTTTGAACATATTCATTTTGTTTATCAAATTCATATCGTTCATCTTCAAAGAAAATTAAAGGAAGAAATATTAAGAAAAAAAAAAAACAATAATAAAAAAAACTTACGATTTGCTTCATCAAGTAATGTAAGACGTTGTGTAAGATTATCCAATAAACGATTATATTTTTCTTGAAATAAAGTATATTTTTCATCTAATGTTATTCGATCAGTATCATTCAATGTTGATGAAACAATCATATAAATACGTGTTAAATCATCAAATTCATTCGTACGATCTTTTGTTGATTCAAGTAATGCCTAAAAAAAAACAAAAGAAATTGAAAATCAAACTTTTTAGGAAAAAATTGATAGGAATCAATTAGAAGCTTAAGATTAAAGATTTCAGTATATATGTATAATATCGTTTTGTTTAAGTATTAAAATATGTGACGTCTTTAATTTCAACAATTCAATAGTGAAAATTTCTCAAAATAGATTTAAAATTTTCCTATCTATCCGATGATTTAATGATTTCTGTTATGTAGTACTCATTGATGAAATTTATAACAAATAAGATGTATCAGAGAAGAAAAAAGGAAGATTAGTTTTTGTTTCGGCTACTCTTGTTGATATTGGATATTATTAGAGATTATTTCAATTAACTTTTATAACAATGATATATCACGGGTAGCTTTGGATCGACAGTCGTTCCGACAGAAATTTTTCTGGCTCATTCTCAAGGACATTTCATATTCGATTATTGATTAAAAACTTGAAGAGTTTGATATATACTGCAGCGTAGTGATGTAACCAGACGAAAACTCATGAAGAAAACTCTCCACATGTCAAATCGGTGTTCAACCGAGACGATGTTCTTTTAATGTGTGCTAGAGAGTAATAGAAAAGTCTAGAATGTTTTGATTTTTCTCATCTTCATTCTAAAGCGTATCGAAATTGTAATGAATTTTTCAATAAAAAGCTGTGGTCACGTGAAAAATCGACTTTCGACTACACGCTTTGCATGAACAAAGTTCTTAATAATATTAGTTGATTATGCAAGTTTTAGCTTTTCTAGTATGATGTAAATAGTTATATGAACAAAATTTCCTTTTACACATAAGAGAATTTCGAATATTCCACGATAGGAAATACTAGAAAAGTTACAATTTACACAATTAACTAGTTTCGTTAAGAACTTTATTCATGCAAAGTTTCAAGTGGATTTTTCACATGACCACTGCTTATTGTTGAAAAAAATCAGTAAAATTTCGATATCTTAAGAACAAAGACCCGGAAAACCAAACCATTTTAAATTTTCTTATTACTCATCAAAATAAGCATCGTCTCAGTGGAAAAGCGATTTGATATTTGGAAATGTTCCCTCAATATCTCCAACATACGAATTGTTGAGTTCAGCTTAAAAAGAGGCTTGAACTTCCTCTACAGACGACATGGTCAAAGCGCTGAACTCCCTACAACTTTCTTCTAGTTACATCGCTACTTCAGCGTAGCAAATATTCTATTCGACTAATAATTGTGAAGTACTAGTTGTAATTGATTAAAGTAGTACACTGTCTTGTAATGACGGTGATTATCTTTATATACAAGCTTAAACAAGAACATAGAAAAAAAAAAAGATAATGTTATGCTTTCAAAACAATGATCACGAAAATGGCTTTTTTTTCTCTATTAAAAAATCGCTAGTAAAACTTCTTCTTCTTACTTGTATACTTCTATATTTTTCTTTGAGACCATTAGCAGTTTGTTGAAGATCATTAGTTAATGGATCTTTAATTTGTTGTTCAGTATTTTTAATCCATTCACTAAGTTTACTCATAATTCTATCCAATTCTCGTCGTTGTTCATTAGCACCATTTAATTGTCGATTACGATCATGTATTGATTCTTCCAAAGAATTCAATTTACGAAGTAATTCTATGAATAAAAACAAAAAAAGAAATGAAAATTAATTTCAAATGTATTATTAACCATCCATATGAAGATTAACATCATTTTGACCTTCACGTGAATACCCTTGTTTAATTTCTTCACTTAATTTAACAATATTATCTAATGTTATTCGTTGAAATTTTAATTCATTTAATGTATCCTAAATAAATAAATAAAAATAGATAAAAAAATCTTTTTCGTTTTTGATTAATAAAACATTCTATAGTTATTTTACATTAATTTTTTTTTGTATTCGTTCAATTTCATTGATTTTTAATGGAATCATTTGATCAGGTGAAATTAAACGTTGTTTATCTTCATACCAAACAATCAAACGTTGAGATGCTTGATCTAATTCTTGACGTTGATGTATTAGAGTATTCAAATGTTCTTTTCGTTTTTCAATTTGTTCTTGTAATTGTTCAAGTTCAGTCTAAGAAATAAATATTAGTAAATTAATAAAAAATAAATAAAATTAATTTTTTACTTGAATTTTATTGATCATAGTTTCTGCTTGTTGACGTTCTTCATTATTTAAATCAGGTGCTAATGTCTTGTATTTACCACGTAGTGCATTCAAATGTGTTTCTTCACTTTGAATCTCTCGATTAATATTCTAAAAATGTTGGTGTCAACTTTTGACAACATCGCAAAAAAAACATTTAACTTTTGAATTTTCAAAAGAATAGCCTCTTTTTCTTCATTTGTAATCGCCTATTCGAATTCTATGCCCATCTATAATATGTGTGTGTGTATATATATATGTAATGTGCAGATAATAATTAAATAAATTAAACGGTACTTAATGTGAGCATGTGATTAGTACAAAGCAAACACGGATTCCTACATACGGTTAGTTGGCAGCAGAACACCACAATTGCTCTGTTATTATCTAAAATTAGAGAGAAACAAGGAAGACCAAAGCCTAACATAGCAGGGCCTATCAAAACACACACACACACACATTATTAGATTTGTTGGTGAAACTAGACTGATAATAAAAAAAAAAGAAGAAAACTAATCAGCCTAAGTGCGACTTTTATTTTATTTTTTTCTACTATGACAAAAACACGGGCATTTAGTGAATTGGCGATTTTAAAAATATTTAATTTTGCTTTTTTCTTCGAATATGTTTAATAAAAAAAAAAAAGAAAAAACTTACATCAATTATTTTCATATCATCAATTGTTATTTCCATTAAACGTATTTCTAATGTTTGTTTAAATGTATTTATATTTAATTCAAATAATTGAAGATTTTTTTCAAAATTTTTATATTCAGTTTGATGTTCGATTGATAATTTTTCAAAATGAATTAAACGTTGTTTTATATCAGCTATTTGATTTTCAACAGAACTAAAAAGAATTATATGTATTAAATAAAAAAAAATTAAAAGATATTAAATTTAAACCGTATATGATTTGTATATTCATTTCGATCAATTTCATTTAAATTTGTATGAAGTCCATTTAAAGTATCATAACATGTTTTTAATTGTATTTCTTCATTAGTTATACTATTAGTAAATCTCTACAATAAAAAAAAAGAGAAAATTAATGTTTTTTTTTTTGGTTTAGAAAAGTTTATTTTTTTGTTTACTTGAAGTTCTTCAATATTATTATTTGTTAATCGATAATGTTCAAGATTTGTTCGAAGAATTTTAATATTTTGATTAATTAATAAAACTGTTTGATCAAGTTTTTGAACAGTTAGTTGTATTTGTTCACGATTATTTATTAATTTATTAATAGTTTCATTTGTATTTTCTAAATCTTTTATTAATTTTAAACGATTTTGTTCAAATGAATAATTATTATTTATTTCTTGAATTTGTAATAATTTTAATTGAATTTCATTTGATAAATTATTTAAACGATTTAATGTTTGATCATATTGAATAGATATTGGTTCTATTGAGATTATAGATAAATGTTTCATAATGTCTTGTAACCAATTTATTGAAGATTCAATTAATTCATTATGAACTTGTTTTTTAACAAGTATTGGACGAATTTCATCTCGTCGATGTTGACTCTAAAGAAAACAAAAAAAAAGGATAAAATATTTGAATTTGTTTCAAAAAAAAAAAAACAACGAATTTTTAGTACTCGATTAGAAATAATTTGTAAACGTTGTTGAATATTAGTTAAAATAGATAAATGTTGATTATCTACATTCGACATAATTGATTTAAGTTTTATATGAATAGTTTCAATATATGTATTTATTTCCTGAATAAAAAAAATAAAATAAGAAAGATTTATTTTATTATTTTAAAATTAATTTTACTTCATATGTTTGATCAAATGTTTGTATATCATCTAATTCATTTGTTTGATTAATAATTTGTTCTAAATGTATTAATTGTTGTTGAAGATTTTTAATTATTTCATCTTGTTCTTGTCGTATTTCTACAGCAGTTAAATAGATAGTCTAAATATAAAATGAAAGAATTAGAAATAAAAATAAATAGAAATAAATAAAATTTACTTCGGTATTTTTCATAGCAAATTCAAATGTTTGACGATTTTGTTCATTTAAATCAAGTGCTGATTTAATTGAATGACATAATTGTGTATATTGAGAATAATTATCAAGTAAACGATGACCAATTGCTGATATTGTATCAAAAGATCTGAATATTGTTTCTGATGAATGTTTTATTTTCTATATCGAATTTAAAAAAAAATAACAATCGATAGAAATAGTAAAAAAAAAAAAAAAGAAATGTGCATAGATTGTACCATATAATCTTCATCGGATATTGAAGAATCAGGTTTTTGAGCAAGAGATATAACATTTGTTTGTGTTCGTGTCATTTCCGTAAGAAATTCAGTATATTGAGTAAGAAGAGATTCTCGTTGATCAATCTCTTCCTAGAATATAGAAAATTATATTTTTAATTCAATTATATAAGATAGAAAAAGTTCAATAGAAACTATGTAAGTCATAGGAATCTTAATCAACAATGTATATCAGAAAATGCATTATTTAATTGAAGTATTGAGATAAGGAGTACAAAAACAAAAAAGTTGTGAAATAATATGTAGATAGAACTCCGTGAAGTTTATCGCTATAGAAACATTTTGAGTCCCATCCAGTTTCCCGCCGTTTCAGTCGAAAACAATAAAAAGGATGTCCAAACTCTCCTGATTCGTTTAGATTTACGTCCTCTTGCCTTTTTTAAACAGGTTCAAATCGGTATGTTTTAAAACATAAAATAAAGTTAGATTTTGCTATATATACAGAAATGAGTATAGTTAGTTACGAGGGCAATTTTTTTAAAAATTATTGAGTAATTGTTTTCAAATTTCAAGTTTGACAGATTTGAACGCACAGATAAGAAAATGTCATAATTAAAGTATGATTTCATTTTGAGATTTAGAGTCATATTTTGTATTTCTCTCCGAAAAGACTTCTTTTTTTTATCAATATTTCTCAAAGAAATGATAATGCGAGTTATATACGCATGTTTAAAGTAGTAAATATTTGTACTTGTGGAATAGAATTGTAGATCGATGCAGAAAAATTTGCAATAAAAATAGTATGTTTTAGAAATATTAATTCTTTCTATTACTTCAATCATGAGATATATCATTAGTTAATTTAGATTTCGCTTGTATATTATCAGGAGACGTCAATAGAGTCTGTCAGATTCTAGACCTTAGCCTACTTTATTTATTTATTTTTTGTTCAATTTAAAACTTACAAGAATTGTTAATTTTAATTGTTCATTATTATTTATTAAATATTCAATTTTAGTTTCATTAATTGGTGTTTCTTTTAATGTTTCAATCATTGAATTTGTTTTTGTTTCAATTTCACGTTGTAAATTTTTTAATCTTTGTATTTGTTGATTTAAATTATCAGGTAGAATATTATAATTATTATCAATAAATTGTTTAAATAAAATACGTTGTTGTTCTATTGTATGTTCAATTTCTTGACAACTATCATTAAATGTATTTATATTTATTTGTATTTGTCTTATCATAGATATTATTTCAACAAATGATGAATCACAAGATTTTAATTGTTCATTATATTGTTCAATAAGTTCATTTAAAATTTTATTATCATCATCTGTATTTATTATTTTTAATTCATTTTGTAAAGTTTCAATAGATTTTAAAAGTGTATAACCTTCAATCATTGTATTATGTTCATTCTAAAAATAGATGTTAATTAATGAAATTAAATTTATCATAGGAAAAAGTTTTGTTCTTTTTTTTTTACTTGAATTTGATTTATTTTAGATTCAAGTGATAATGAATCATTTTCAAATGGTAAATCAAGTAAATTAGCATATGTACTTTGTTTTAATTCAAGCCAATTTGTTAATTGATCAAGAAGATTCTCACATTCTTGTTTTTTATTATGTATTATATCAAGATATTGAGATGTTTCCTAAAAATAATATAAAAAAGATATTACTGTCATTCCTGCGAATGTGAAATACGCTGTAGCTGCTATTGATAATCACATGAATATTTTTGTATTCAAACTATATTAGGACACTTTTCTTCATCATACTTTTACTTAATCCTTCAGAAATGCAACAAGAAAATGCTTCATATCAGTCTGCCGCAATCTGTGGAGAGGAGGACGTTGTAGACAGCCAGACAATAGAATCGATTTCTAAGATATGAACCTATATTGTAGTTAGCATTAAAGCTGCGATATATCTGCATTTAACTGCGGCTTGGATTCTGATTGTAAACAACTAGTTGTTTTGCGGCGGCTCCTACAAGGTAGGCAGAAGAGGTAAATATCACTAATAGGACTCTACAAGTAAAATGTATGTTGTTCACACTTCTTAAAGTTCCTTCTGCTCCAATAAGATTAAAAGCCTACTCGTAATACACTAAAAAATAACGCCTGTATCTTTCAAATCGATGAAATTTTCAATACACAAAACAAGCCTAAATATATACATGTTTAATCTTCTATATTGATTGTTTAGTTTTAAATATAATCCATAGATAATTTCTAACTTTGCACTTGTTATCAAGAAATGTTGACAACTCATGAGAGAATCTCTCCAGATGCTAAATCATTTCTGAATCGAGACTATGTTCATTCGATGAATACTTCTGAGTGTTGAAAAATTCTAAAATGATTTGGTTTTTCAGACCTTGGTCCTTATGATATCGAACTTTTACTGAATTTTTCCAACAGAATCTCGTAGTCTTCCTCAAGTCGTGTTGAAAGTTGATTCTCGAGTTTTCACTTGAAACGTTCACAATGAACTAGTTTCATTGAGAAAATTATTTATGAAAAGTTTCAGGTGAAGACTCAAAAATCAACTTTCAACGTGATCTGAAATCGACTATAAGATTTTGTTGAAAAAATTCATTTTTCAGAAATTGTAAGAGTATAAAAGAGACTAGTTAAGCATAGATAATCAGCATCAACTACGAAGCATATTTATACAAAATACGAAGTTATTATCTACAATAATTGTAGGGACGATTTCTGGCCCACTGTACGGAAGAGGGAGTTGTGAAGCTTCCACTTCATATACTTCAACCCTCTTTTTAGATCATATTTCACCAAAAAAAAAAAAAACCTAAATAAAAATATTTACTTGAATAAGTCTTGAAACACGTTGTGTACGAAGTTGAATATCTTTTATTTGTGTTTGTTGTTGTGCAATGGAATATTCTTGTTCTAATGTTTTCGATTGAATAATAATATCATCAAATATTGATTCAATATTTGCTAACATAATTTGTACTTCCTAGAAAATGAAATAAATTATTAGTTTAGATTTCAAAAAGCAAAAAAAATGTTTTTTTTTGTCTCTTAAATAATACTTGTAATGTCTGTTGAATTTGATATTCTTTCATAGATATTCTATTTGTTAATTGACTTTCACAATCATTTAAATCTTCAATAATTAGAAGAATTTTATTTTGAAGAATATTTTGTTCATTAAGACCTTGTTGAAGATGATCAATAGATTTTTTAATATTTAATTCAATTTGAATAATTTGTTGTTTTATATCATTTAATCGATTATTATATTGACGTATTAAACCAATATCTTGAAATTGTTCAATAGTTTTTTCTAATTCATTTTCAATATAATGAATTGTTTGTAAATAATTATTTGATAATTTTTCATATGTTTCAAATGTATTAATAGTTAATAATGAAGAAAATATTGGTTGACGATCAAATTCATTTTGTAAATTTTCAATTAAATTATCAATTTTTATTTGTATTGATGTTGTTTCATTTTCTTTTTCAAGAATTGATTCAATTTCATCTTTTAATGAAAGAATATCTTGATGTAATTGTTCAATACGTTGTTTAATAAATTTTGATGTTATTATATTTGGTGGATGTTGAACAATTGTTAATTGTTCTTGAATTTGTATTCGATAAATATTTAATTGAACAAATTGACCGGTTGATGAACGTTGTTTAAGTTCAGGTGAAATTAATCGTGAACGATTATCAACATGTTGTAAAATATTAACAATACATTCATTAATTTGTTCATTTAATTCATTATAATTTGTTATCATTTGATTTAATAATTTATATTCATTTATTAAACGATTAAAAATAATATATTCATTATTTGAAATTGATTGTAAATTTTCAAATTTAATTTTTAATTGTTCAATTAAATTATTATCATTTATAATTTGATTGAAATTTTTTGTTAATTCTTTTAATTCAATTTGTATTTGTTCAATTTGTTGAAATAATTTAAATAAATTATCAAATGTTAATTCATTATCTAATTGTCTTTGATATGAAATTTTATTAAGATTTTTTTCATGTAAATTTAAATTATCTTCAATAGATTTTATAATTAATTTTAAACGTTCAAATTTTAATTGATTTTCAATTAATTTTTCAATTTCTTGATTTATTTCATTTAATTTAAGACGATAATTTGTTTGTAATTGTAATAAATCATATTCAATATTTGTATCCAAAAAGAATAAATTATCATTAGATGTAAGAATTGAAAAACGTGTTGATTTTATTTGTAAAAGATAATCAATATGATCTTGTAGAAGAATTAATTCATTTTGAATATCCTTTGAAAAAAAAAAAAAAATTTTTTTTTTTCATTTGCATTTTAATTAAATTAAAATAAATACTTTTAATTGATCAAGATTATGATTATTTTGTTGATAGAATTCAAGTATATGATTAAATGATGAATATGTTGTATCAAAACGAAGTTTAAATTCAAACCATGCTTGTTGTTTTTCAATACATAATGAATGTATTGTTGTTAATTGATTTTCTAATGATTGTAATGTATCAAAAAGAAATTGATTTTCATCAATTAATTTTTGTTGACCATCGAAACCTGTAGATTTTTGAATATGAATAAGAATTGGTTGGAATTCATCATAACGTTGTTTTAATTTTTCAACTTGTAAAACTTTAGACTAAATGAAAATTTAAATATAAGAAGAATATTGAAGTTTTTTTTTTTTTTTCTTTGAAAGAAATACAAAATATTTAATATTTTCATCAATTAATAATCGATTTCTTAGTGATATAGCGTTGAAATAGAGAACTTTTTTCATGTTATGTACCTTGACTGAGAAAAATTGATTAACCCTTACTCTACTGTAATGCGCAGGGTAAGGTAGAGTAACATTGCAAATCTTTACTCGGAAATGTATGTTCGATTTGTAGTGTTGAAGTCTTTATTACGTCCTTCATATTAGGACCCATCAAAAGAATTCGTTCAAATCAATAGGCGTGTTCCACCAAAAATTTAACTCGATAATGGTACATTTAATTTTGATGCTTTCTGGAACTTAAGGGTTTTAGACCATGTTCTTTCTTTTGTCTAGCGAACATTTTTGTCCAAAATGCTCTGAAGTAGGTTTTCTAGAAAATCTTGGTTTTTGGACCAATATTCGCGAAAGTTTTTTTGTTTTGACAGTCTACAATGATAGAGCAACCAATTGTCCACAAAAATGAGATGTCTGCAAGCTCGCTACGATGTTTTTTGGTCGAGTTGCATCAATTTTAGTGAAGGGCCATAGCTGTTTTTTCTGCTATTTCCTCTGAGAAAGGACAAAAAAAATAGTTTTTGCCCTTCACTAGAATTGATGTAACACCACCAAAAAGCGTCGCAGAGAGCTCGCAGACATCTTATTTTATGAAGAATTGATTGCTCTATTATTATAGACTGTCAAAACAAAAAAACTTTCGCAATTATTGGTTCAAAAACTAAGGTTTTTATAGAAAACCTATTTCCAACCATTTTGAACAAAAAGATTCGCTAGACAAAAGAAAGAGTATGGTCTAAAACCCTTAAGTTCCAGATAGTGCTACATTCGGTCAAGACTGAAAAAAGTTAGCATAGACCAACTTTCGAATGGAACACGCCTATTGTTGTTATTATATACGTTTTTATCGTTTGAGTCTTTGATTAGTATACTCTACAATAGATATGTCTGGTTTTTTTTTGTTCTTTTAATTACATTATCCAATGGCTTGTTTGATTCATGTAAATAAAGAACTCTAAAATTTTTACCTCAATGAATTCTCTTGTTTTTTCAATTGTTGAAATAGGTTGTTTATCAAGATTACATAATTCTGTTGTAACATCTGCAATAAATGATCGAAGTGTTCGTGCACTTTCGCCATAATTAAAATGTTCATTAAAAATTAAATTTGTATTAGCAACTTGTTCCTATTTTTTTTTCAAAGAAAATAACAATAATAAAAAGATTTTTATATTTTTGTTTTGTTTTTTTACTTTAAATTCACGAAACATATGTTCATGTTGAATTTTAATTCCATTTAATGCTTGAATATTTTCTGTTGATGTTTCACATTCATTTGTAGCATCACGAATTAATTCTTTAATAAGATTTTCAACGAATTCAAGATCATTAAAAACTGTCTAGAAAAAAATTACATTCGATTAAAATTTAAAATAAAATTTTTTCTTTTTTTTAAAACTCACCACTGCTAATTCTGCACGTATACGTTTATCAGAAACTGTATTTGGTATTTCAGTTTTTAAACGATTAAGATCATTTTCATATAAAATTAATTTTCGTTTTATTTGTCGAATATTATCATCAATTTTAACATTTATTGATAATGAAATATTAACACGTTCCTTTAAAAAAAAAAACAGAAAAGTTCAAATTTAAAAAGAAGATCTTTTTTTTGTATTTTATATAAATACAAACCCGTAAATGATTAACTTTTTGTTCTAAATTTAAATGAATTTCTTTTAAATGATTATAACATTCTTGAAGATATTCTGTTGCTTTAATATCTGAAGATAATAAAAGATTATGATCAGATAATTTTTGTAAATCAATTATAATTGATCGTTGAATAGTTTGATATTCCTTAAAATAAGAGAAAATTATTAATTTAAGATTAAAAATATTTTTTTTTTTTTACATTTAAATATTGACGTGTTTGAGAAGTAAAATTATCTCCTGTAAGATTTAAACATTTTTCAATATCACATAATGTACTTGTAAGACGTTTTTCAAGACTAGTATTTTCATTTAATGAAATATTAAATCTTTGAACTAATTCTTCAAACTGTTGAATTGTTAACTTTAAAATGAAAATAAAGAATTTTGTCAAAACCAAAAAAAAATAAAGAATAAATAAATTTTACATTAAATTGTTCTTTAATTTTATTACGTATTTGAATTAATTGTTCAATTTGATGTCGTATTTGTGGTTCATTAGTAAGAATAAGACTTAAATCTTTTGCTAATGAAAGATTATTTTCAATAGTTGAAATTAAAGAATTAAAAATTTGAATATGTTCAGTCTAATAAATAATAAAAATTGATATGCAAAAAAAAAAAAAAAAAACAAAAATCAAAGACAAAAAAATTTTACTTGTAATTTTTCAAGTTTATCATTCGATATTTGTGTAGAATCATTTTGAATATCAGTTAATGTTGAAAGAAAATTAAAACATTGTTTAAAATGTTTATCACAATTTTGAATAAAATTTTGAGTTTGATTACGAATTCTTTCTGAAATAAAAAAAAAAATATTAAATTTTGTATTATAATAAAAAATCGATTATTTGTTGTTTTTGTTATATTAACCTGTTTCTTCAAGTTTTTTATTTAAACGTTCACAAAGATCTTTCCATCGTATTTCATATTGTTCAATTCTATGATTTATATTTTCTTGATTTGATTGATCTAATGATTCTATTGTTTTTCTAGCTTCTTGAAAAAGATTTTCAATATATTCTTGATTATTTAAATTTAATATTAAATTTTTCGAATATTCTTCTAATTGAAGTAATGTATGATATTGTATTGTTTGTTCAAAATCTTTAGTTATTTTTGTTAAAATATGTTCGAATTTTTGTTGAATTTCAATCCATTGTTTTAATGAATTATATTCAGATCGACATTTACTTTCAAGTATCTTTATATTAAAGAAATTTTCAAATAGAAAAGATAAGAAATGATTTAGTTCAACTTACTTGAGCTTCATTATTTAATTGTTCTTGTTTTGTTGCAATTTGTTCAAAATCATTTATAAATTCAGATATTTTCGGTTGTAAATGATCAATCATATCGGATAATTCACGAAGATGAACATCATTTTCACTTAAAACTTCTAATTCAGTCTATAGATACAAAGAAAACAAAAATCACTATTAATTGTTTTAATTAGAAATTTTGATTTCTTCTACAATTTATTAAGTTGTTTACCTCAAACAAGACTAGATTGTCTAAGGCAAATAAATTAAACAAAAAAAAAAAAAAAAACTAAGTTATATGAAATAACATGTGTATCATAAGTAGTTTTCAAGGTCATGATTCTTAAATCTAACAGAATTATCGAATCCTCTTTGATTTGAAAATTAATTCAAAATTTGAAAAGTTTGATTTCGGTACATGTTTAATTAAATATTAGATTGATAATATTTAAAAAATCAACAAGTCTTATAAAACAATTTACTATTAATGAAAGAGTCAATTTATTTTAATCCAAAGCAATTCGATAAGATTTTCTTTACATTGTTAGAAAGTAAAAGAGAAAATAAAACTAATGGCGGAATCACTCTCGAACTAATATCCACCGTTTGAAATCACATTGGATCTATAAGGAGGCCTTAATGAGATTGGCAAAAGTCTAAAAGAATTTGCCTTCATAGACCTTGACAACCGAGTTATGATCATTTTATTGAATTTTTGACCTAGCTCAAGGTATATACTAAAAAAATCAGAATTTCGACGTGAAATTTTGCTCATAGATACGTTAAATGATTCGTAGAATATCCTGAAAGTTTCTGTCGAAAATAAGGTCCGTCTATATCTGAAATGCACATCTACTTAGCACAAATACTTCTGGACTGAAATACAGATTTGTTTGTCATAGAATCATTTTAGGAGAAAAATAAAAAATATATTTGAAATTAGCATGAAAAACTGTATTGAATGATGTACAATTTGTTAACTTTTATAATAAAAAAATTTTTCATAGGAATTTAGAGTAAGAATCGCTCTCAGAGGTTTTCCGTCGTAAGTGTATCACTGTATGTCCTTGTAAATAATCGCACTATTCTGTAAAATAGAACAGGACAAAAAAATAAATAAATGTTGTTCTCAATAGATGTACCATTTGACATTATCTACCTGTATACGAATTAATTGTTCTTGTTTTTCATCTGTATTAATTGTTGATATTGAATCATTAATTTGTTTTAATTTTTGTTCAATATTTATATGTGAATCATTGATTTTAGTTTTTAATCGTTTAATATCATTTATTCGTTGTAATAAATTATCTAATTGATTTTCAATTGTATTTGTTTGTTGAATTATATTTTTTTGTCGATTTTGTATTATTAAACAAGTTTGACTAATTTAAAGAAGAGAAAAAAAAATAAAAAAATAATTCATGTTTTGTTTTTTTTTTACCGAAAAAAATTTGCATTTTCAACTGAATCTAATAAAGATTCAGTAACTTCATTTAATAAATTTGCTTGTCGTTGAACGACTGATTGATTATTAATTAATGATTGTAAAACATTTGATGTTGTTTGAATTGTTTCAATTGATAAAGATGTATTATTATTCCATATATCAATATCATTAATAATTTTATTTAATATTAATTCACATTCATTAAGTAATTCATTATAATTATTAATTTGTTGTGAATATAAAGAATATTTTGTTTGACCATCAGTTGCTTTACGTAAAAGATCTTTTAATAAAATTTTTAATCGTTGTATAAATATTTGTAATTGTTGTAAATGTTCTAATAGATCAGTTTCTTGTGTTCGTTGAGATAGATCAATTGCAAAACGATTTAAACTATTTAATTTACTTTCAATTAAATCCAAATCATTTTTCATATTCTACAATATAAAAATAAAAAAAAAAAATTTTTGTGTTTTTTTTTCTTTACTCGTAATGTACCAACAGGTGTTTGTCCATCATTTTGAATTCGAATATTTATCATTTTTAATGATGATTCGAAATTATTAAGTTCATATGATAATTGTTCACTTTCTTTTATAAATGTTAACCAATCTGTAATACAATTTTGTAATTGTTGTTCGATCTAAATCAACATACAAAAAAGAAAATGTAAGAAAAATTATACATTGTCTTTTTTTTTTTTTTTGTTTGTTTTTTGTGATGCATACCTTGAGAATAGTTGTATTAATTTGATGTGATTTAGTTTGTACACGTTCCCATTCACGACGTACAGATTGTTTACCATTTTGGCCAACTAACGTAAGTACTTGACTTGTCATTTGTTCGGTGTCTTGTAATGCAGACGTCAATTCTCGATAGTTATTTTTAATGTCCTTTAAAAAAGAAAAAATTCAATAGTTGTTACATATAGAATAAATATATAGGGTGTACCAAAATTATAAGACCTCCCTTTTATTTTTGAAGTTTTTCCACAAAAACGGGCAGCTAGGTAAAATCTAAATAGTGATTTGGATAGCCCTTGAAAATCTCTATCGAATACAGTATGAGCCAGAATTTCTAAAGAAACTTAGTGAGGAGAGTTTTCCAGAAAACTGTTTCACCTAAAAATCGAGTTTTTGAGAGTTTTGACAAAAATATTTTTAAATATAGTCATCTGAAAGAGCAAAAAATTCTGAGCAAAATGAGTGGTCACCCAGCTCTCCACGATGTTTCCTCGCAGAGTTATAAGCACCAGAAAAATGGAAAAAAAATATTTTTTAGCGGTTTTTTGATTAATTCTGCAATTTTTCCCATTTTTCTGGTGCTTATAACTCTGCGAGGAAACATCGTGGAGAGCTGGCCAACCACTCATTTTGCTCAGAAGCTTTTGCTCTTTCAGATGACTATATTTAAAAACGTTTTTGTCAAAACTCTCAAAAATTCGATTTTTAGGTGAAACGGTTTTCTGGAAAACTCTCCTCACTAAGTTTCTTTAGAAATTCTGGCTCATACTGTATTCGATAGAGATTTTCAAGGGCTATCCAAATCACTATTTAGATTTTACCTAGCTGTCCGTTTTTATGGAAAAACTTCAAAAATAAATGGAGGTCTTATAATTTTGGTACATCCTGTAGAATAAAAATAACTAACTATTAATTTTTTTAATTTATCTTCAAGTATTTCTTTATCACCATAGGTATCTAAAATTGGTGAAAGTTGATTTTGAATTATTTGAAGAGATTGTTGTAATAATGAACAATCATTAGTAAATTTTTGAAGTATTTGATAACGACGTTCACTTTCATCAAGATGAATCTAATTTGTATAGAGAAACAAAATCAAAATTTATTGATTTTTATATAAATTCTTTACCGTAAGATCTCGACGTAAATGATCAAATTGACTAATTAAACGTTTAGCATTACTTACTAATTGTAAATCATTTAATTCATTAGCTTCATTGGAAATGATTTGTAAATGATTTTGTTTTGGTTCGATATCTTGAATTGTTAACTATAAAAACAAAGTACAAATTTTCTAAAATTTAATCCATTTTTTTTTTTTTGTTACTCTTTTTCTTTGACATTCATCTTTATATTCATATTGATCATCTTTAATAATTTCTTCAATAGCTGGTAATTTTATTGTTACAATTATTAATTCATATTCATGTTCAATATCATTTAATTGTTTATTTAATGTTTGTAAACGTTGTTGTTTTGATTCAATTGTTTGTTTTGATGAACGTAATGTTTGTACAAGACGATTAAATTCATCTTTTGTTTGTTGTAACATTGCTTTCATTGTATGATTATGTACTGATGATGATAATAATAATGAATTATTATTATTACTATTCGATGTTGTTGTTGATATTGATGAATGATGTGTACGTAATTGTGTATCAATTGTATTATAAGATGATGTCATAAAATCTAATCTATCACGTAATGAATCACATTCAGATAAAAGTGCACTTAATTCTGCAACACCACTATCTAATTCCAAACTACTTTGATATTTTTCATGAAGACTTTCAATAGATTTTCGTACATCATTATATGTTTCATCAAATGTTGTTTGTTTATGAATAATTTCATCACAAGATAGAAGAAGATGCTAGGAAGAAGAAATAATAAGATTATTTAATATTTCAATATGAAGATAAAAAGAAATCTTTTTATATAATTATGCTATCGAAGTATCTCTTTTTTTGTTGATGAAAGAATATGATTATATTTTAAAATATATGGTTTCATGCCTTAGTATTGATGTCAATCATTAGAAAACCGTGGCTATGAGTGAAATCATATGAAATAAAACTTCCGAGAATATCCTATAAAATAGCTTGAATCATTGAAGAATTATTTCAATTTTATTTCACGGTTCATTTTTGGAATACTCGGTATATAGATTTAAAAAATACGATATGATATAAAAGTAATAGAGCAAATGTCAGTCGATATTTCTGTTCAATAAAAAAGTACTGAGAGAAAACATTTTGGTGATCAGAAAATTGAGAATTTCTTCCTTTTTTTTTTGCATTGAATAAAACTTATTTTTTAGCAAATATTTATAATATAAAAGGCGAGCGCTCTTAAAAGAACACTACAAAATGTTGATCTTATATCTTTTTCGATAAGCATGTCCAGAAACAATAACTTTTTATCAACTCCTATTTCAAACTGTATTAAATTGTATGTTTGCCACACATGTATAAGTAAAAAAAATCTATATACTCGTAATATAATTGCGCAATTTTTCTATAATAGGTTCATCAAAAGAATTTCTTAGATGACACTCACTTATAATGAAATATTGTTTTAGAAGATCGTTTTGATTAGTTCATAAAAACTTAACAAAGTAATGTTTTACGACGAATTTAGAAACACAAAATTAACTATGATCTGTAAGATTTTTTTTTTCATGAACCAGTATAAAAATTGTAACCAATACGAATTTATCAGAGAGACTCAAGGGCTGTTATTTTGCATTATTTTGAAAAGTATGGATCCATTTTAGGCGTACTTTAAGTTATATACTATTCGAAAGAGGAAATAATATTTCACCTTTCTTACAACATTTTTTGTTTTTGATTAAAGAGAAATAAGAGCTAACATTGATCCTTTTAACTTTTGTATTATATATTATGAACAAAAAATATTTAACACACAAACTTACTTGAATATTTTTAACAAGTTCATCACATTTTTGTTTTGTTTCATTGACTATCATTACCATTTGACCATCATCAATATGATTGTTAGTAAGACGTTCATTGATTTGAATTAATCGACTACTACATTCGAAACATTCTTGTTGTAAATGCTAAAACATAGATTAGTTTAATTATTGATTTAAAAAAACATATATATTAAATTACTTTAAGTTCTTCTTTTTGTAATAATTTTTCTTCAATTGAATGTTTTAACATAAATCCATCAATTGTTTGTTCAATTGTTATTAATGATTGTTGAATATTTTGTATTGATTCTTTTTGTTCAATAATTAATTCTTGTATATGATGACATTCAGTTTCTATTTGAATTAAATTTATTGAACAACGTTCAGCATCATTCTATGAAATTGAATTTTATAAATATTTCTATAAAACTTTAAACTTACAAACATTTGATCAATTTTATCCATTAATATTTTAATTAATTCTTTTGAAAGACATTCATCAGATAATTTTGTTTTGAGATCTTTTGCTTTGATTACTAAATCATTTAAACGATTTCGATGATCCTTTAAAAAAAAAAACAAGAAAAGTATTTTTGAAAATAAAAAAAATTTATTAATTTTATTTTGTAAAACAAACTTCAAATGCAGTTGTTATACGTTTAATATAAATTTCATTTTTTGATTTTTCATTATGAAATGTTTGTAAACGTATTGAACAAGTATCAATTAAATTTTGTAATGTTTGTTGACAAGAAATAATTTCATTTGAATATTTTTCAATTTGATTTAATTCATTAATTTTTTTCTAAAAAGAAAAAAAAACTTTTATTTTTAAAATAAAAGTTTTCTTTTTGTTTTATTCTTTACTTGAGTTATTGTTTTCAATTGTTCATGAAATGATGACAAATGTTGTGCACGTTCAATAACAGTTGTATCTGTTGATGATGATGGAGATAATAAATGTAAATGAAATTTTTCTACACTTGTTAATGTATTTGTCATATGTTGAAGACGTTGTCGAACTAAATCAGTTGCTGTATAATCATGTAAAAATTGTTGATCAAATATTTGTAATTGTTGTTGAATATTATTTAATGTTTGTTCAATTGTTGCTTGTTCATTTAAAACTAAACGTTGTTCTTCATCTTGTTGAGCTAATTTTTCCTAAGAGACAAAAAAAAAAAAACAAATTGATTATTTTAAGAAGAACATTAAAAAAGAAATGTTTATAATTAAATAAATATACTTCAAATGCTTGAATATCATTATTTAAACTTCTCCATTTTGTTTGAACTTGTTTTAATTTAAATTTAAGATGTTCACTACCTTCAATAGAAGTTTCAGATATAATTTGTTCATTAATATAGGATATTCGACGAATTTCTTCTTCGAAATCATCTCGTTCAGTTTTAAAATTCTATAAGAAACAACAAAATTATTTCCAGTGAATTTTTAATGTATAGAAATAATTACTTTAAGTTGAAATAAAACATCACCATAATTTTCTTGTTGTCGAAGATGATGAAATGTTGTTTGAAGTGTTGATAATGTTTCAAATAGATTATGTAAACGAAGATCATAATCAGCATGATGATGTCCAGCACGATTTAATGTTTCATAACGATACTAAAATAAAATGAAAATTAATTAATTAATTAATTAATTAATGAATATTAATTTAGAAGAAATTACTTGAATTTGTTGTTTAACTGTTGAAAATGTTTGATCAAGATCATCAAGATTAGCTTGAAGTGGAGCATCGTCAAGAATTTTAAATAGATTATCAGATCGTTGTTTCATTTGTTCACGATAAGCTTCTTGAATAGCAAAATCATCCAATTTTTCCTAAACAAAAAATAATTTTATTAAAAAGATATTTTCAATAGTCCATGACACTATTCAATAATTATTTTAACACTAGTCCAGAAAAAGAACTAAAGAGTGGATAAATGATAAGAAGTGTAAAATAGGCTTTTACAGAATTAGCATAACATGCTGAGGTTTAGCACAGCAAACAAAGCAGAAGTGACGTCAAGAATGACGATAGTCGTTAGATAGCGGCGGAGGAGATCGTCGCCTAAAGTTTTCTCGGTTCGTAGCACGGTCACTTCGTTCCTTCGTTATTCGACAAGCACGGATAATGCACATCTCTATTAGAGTCTGTCCGATGCAAACTTTTAGGATTTGTACTCGATTTACTGAACTTTTTTTCTGACTCGGACTATACTCCAGATACTCTCATTGAAGTTTTTTTTTCATTCTGAATCTGATTGTCGGTCCGAAGATAGAGGTTTTTTGAAAGTGGTTTGTATTCAGTAACTAGCATGGCCTAACATTTCTTGAGCAATCTTAATGTTGATCCTATAATAGTCAAGTTATTATTGACGCATGTTTTCAGAGTAGCGCCCGTCGGTCCCTCCTGTATCCTTATTCGGTCAGCATGGAGTTTTCTGACTCGGATTCGAATTCGAGACCTACCCGATGGACTCTAACAAGATGTTCAAGTGAACCGATGATCCTGTCACAAGCAATATAGGTCGTTTGTTTATCATGGTTTTTTTTTAACTTTCCATAAAAAGACTTCGGTTTTTGAACAGAAAATATACATATCAAAATCGACAGTGGAATATCTTTGCCACTGAAACATGAGAAATGATCTTCTTTTTAATCATTTTTTTGGTACGTTACTATTCGTATTTTCTTATCAGTTATAATTATCTTATATAAATAGTTAACTAATTCTTGTTGTTTTCTGATTCATATTTATATTATGACAATATTATAAGACTTGATACATTCTCTTCAACTAATTAGTTCATAAAATTCATTTAAAAACATTCTTTCTAGAAAAATGAATTTGCCTTATTATTCTAAACGTTAATGTTTTGTCATTTGTCTATTCTCGACAGATACATATTATATTAAAAGTTATTAAATGTTTTGTAAAATTATATCGTTTAGATTGTTATAAATCGATTGATCAGTAATTAGAAAATTAAGAAATAGGTTTCAACAGATTTGCCGTCCATCACGTGACTCGATAAGATAGTTTGAACGTCAAAAACATCAATAGATTTTAGTTGTTTTCATAGTTCTAACTCGCAAAATATTGATTGATCTGTCTAATAAAACATTTTATGAATTCTTCAAAGACTTACAAGCATTCGTTTTGCAGCATCATTTTTTTCTTCTGCTGTATTAAGATTAATAATTAAATATTTATTTAATTGTTGATCTGTTAATTTTAACCAATCATTCATTTGTTTAATATCAGTTATTAATTGTTCACATTCAAATTTAATTGTTGTTATAAATGTAAATGTTTGCATAGCTTTTTCTTGTAATAAAGATGAATTTTGTTCAAGATGATTGAAACGTTTTTGTACTGATTCTTCTAATGAACTTTTTAAACCAGCTTCATATATTTTACTACGTATATTGACAAGTTGTTTATCAAATTCTTTTATTAATTGAAATAATTGCTAAGAAAAAAAAAAAAAAAGAAACTCAAATATAAAAAAAATGAAAATATGTTTTTTTTCAAATATCATTTTACTTGATGTTTATCAAGTTTAATTTCTAATTCTCTTCGATTATCTTTTTCTATACTTTCAAATGATTCATAATGTGTTGTTAAATAATTTAAATGTCGATCTAATTCAACTAAATAAACATCTAGTTCTTGTTGACGTGTATAGAATAGTTCATTTTCATTGATAAATGTCTAGTAAAATTTTATAATTATATAAGATAAAATAAAAAAGAAAAAACTTTTTTTATTTTACTTCAAGTTCTTTTCGTGCTATTTGAAAACGATTTGTCATTGATTCAAATGAACGCATCAATTCAGTTGTACAATGACTTAAAAATGAATCAACTGTACGTAAACGTTTTGACTTAATATCAAATTGATCTAATTGATTCTAAAAAGTAAAACAAAGTTGTTAGAATAATTCCATGGGATTTAAATGTGAAATACGATCGAGCTTTTGTCATTGAAAAAGAAAAAATTCACCAATATAGATTCTAGTTGCTAAGATACAAAAAATTGAAATATCTCTGTTTCGATTCGCTCGACCAGGCTGATTTTTTGGTGAGTTTATTCAAAACATTTTATTTTATAGGATAATGTAAGCAAATACTGTCATTAGGTATTATTGTTGTCAGTGTTTTATCTAGTGTGAGGATCGAGGAGACGGCACTTCTCTGAAGATTGGATTGACCCTCCCAAGTTTAGAAGCTATTAAAAACACGTACGATATATCTGTGCTCCTAAAAATAGATCTTTCGGAAGAGAAAATCTTGATAAAACACTGATTGTTGGTATTACGAAAGGAGTTTTACCTATTATCAAGTAAGAAACATATATGTATAACATTTCAAAGATAATTTTTAATTGTTATCTAAAAGAATCATACGAAGATATTACAATGAACTTTATGAATGATATCGTATTGAGCAAACTTTTGGAACTAGTTATAGTAGATTTTTTGTTTCCTGAGTATATCTGTCATAGTTTGTGATGAATATTTATCATTTTAGATTTGAATAAGAGAAAATTTTTTATGATTGAAGAAAAAAAGAAACATACACGTAGATTTTGAATCCAAATCGATGAAAGTATTTCATTATCATTTGATTGTATTTGTAATGAATCAAGAAATAGATTTATTTCATCAATACATGTTTGAACAAATTCACATGCTTGTGAACGTGTACGTAAATCTTGTTGAATCGTTGAAAATAATTCATTAAGTTCATTTAATTGAAGTTTTAATGTTCTAAATTATTTGATTTTGTATTTAAAAAATTTTTCGATAGTTTTTTTTTTTAAAAACATTACCGTATTTGTGTTCGAATAGATTCTTTTTTAGTTGAATGAATAAATCCAGTTGTAGCAAATGTTTCTAATTGTTTCATATTTTGTTCACATTGTATACGACTCTGTTGAATATCCTGGATTTAAATAATATTTGATAAAAAAAAAAAGAATTCGTATTGGAAATAAATTACTTGAATAGCATCAAGATGAATTAATGATTTTTGTTCTTGATGAATTTCAATTAATTGTTGTTGATAAGTTTCAAATGATGTATGAATTATTGATAATAAACTTTTCCATTGTTGACTAAAATTTACTGCTTGTTGAACTCGTTCTAGTTGACTATTACATTGACCGAGTAGAACAATGATTCTATTTGTAAAATACAAAGAGAAGAATGTGTTTAACTAGAGAATTATTTGTTACAGACTTATAGATTATATACAGTGGATCTCAAAATTATTCAACCAGGTATAATTTGGATTTTTTTCGTAGTCTTAAGTGCTAGAAAGAATCCAAATAGTGATTTGAATAGAGAATATTGTTGCCAACAAGAATTCGAGAAAGTGATAACCGTCATGAATTTTCCTAAAATAGGATTTCTAGAAAACCAAACCCCTGGTTTTTCAATATCCAGAAGCCACAATAGAAGCCTTGTTTTAACAGTCTAGAATTATAGAGCAACCAATTCTCTACAAAATGAGACGTCTCAAAGCTTTCTACGACCTTTCCTTCAAAAGTTCTAAACGTCACAAAAATTGAAAAAATGCGGTTTTTAGTCGCTTTTCTCATAAATTTCATTTTTTTTCAATTTTTGTGACGCTTAGAACTTTTGAAGGGAAGGTCGTAGAAAGCTCTGAGACGTCTCATTTTGTAGAGAATTGGCTGCTCTACAATTCTAGGCTGTTAAAATAAGGTTTCTGTTGTGGCTTCTGGATATTGAAAAACCATGGTTTTGATTTTCTAGAAATCCTAGTTTAAGAAAATTCATGACGGTTATTACTTTCTCAAATTCTTGTTGGCAACAATATTCTCTATTGAAATCACTATTTGGATTCTTTCTAGCACTTAGGACTACGAAAAACATACAAATTACACCTGGTTGAATCATTTTGGGACCCACTGTATGTACAGATTAACGACGTTAAACGAATGTTTTTATATATTTTTACTTTATGTGTTTTATACATTATTTTCATGATGGGAAAAAAAGGAGGGACTGATTTATATGAACATGAAATAATATTAACAATGTTTATTTTTCTTATTTTGGTGTTTCAGTATGAGATCTTTTTTAAGTTAACTTGATAAGAGTTATTTTGCACAGAGCGAGATGTTTAGTAAGTAAACAAGTAAATGTATCATCAATTGTTCTAACATATCAGTTATAGTGATATGATAACAGATCATAAATCGTTACAAACTATATTTTGTAATGGTGAATAGTTACATTCGGATTATTCTAATTTTATTTCTACTGACGAGGGAACATATCTAACTGTCAGGCATTGTTCGACCTAGTATTATGGCTGCACGCAAGTTTCTGTGACACTGAAACAAACTTAAAAGGATTCGAACCCATGATAAATCAATAGAGAGTTACGGTCGTTTTAATGAAATGCGTACTGAGAGTAAGGCATTTCTGAAAAATACAAAACAAATAGTTTTGACCTAGGGATGTGCAGTGTTGCTGTAAATACTGAACAGTAAATCAACAATACAAGGTCTACTGAAGTACTAATATCCGCATTCGCTGCAACATTAATACACTAACTCTACCAAAAAGTATTCTGTTTGTAGTGGTGTGTTTTAATGATCAGTGAATACTGGTGTCAGTATGCACTAACTACACTATCCTATTTTGATCTGAAATTTTACCTATAGACAGATTTGATAGTTCTGAAAGTGTCAATGAAAAAATAATGTCTTTCGCCAAATATTCAATTAAACAAATAGTGTTTAACTATAGGAAGGTACGGTGATCCTGTCTAGTTGAAAATTGAATATCTGTAGAAAGACCTTTTCCTCATTGAAACTTTTAGAACTATCAAATCTGCTTATAAACAAAATTCCAAGTCAAAAGTCTTTGTTTTGAATGCGTCGGAGATACCTTTGCTCTCAGTAAAAATTTTATTGAAACGACTATAATTATTCATTGGTAGGCAACCAGGCCGAACCTTTATAAATTTCTTATAGTCTCACCGAGACATAGTTGTAGGCATAATATAAAGCCGAACAGCATCCAACTGTTGGTACGAGTCAAGTCTAACTCCCATCTGACTCATTTGAGTCTGCATGAATTCGTATAGAGTTCTATCGTACTTTATAATCTAATTCAATTTTCTAATAGGTACCTTTCTCTTAAAATTGCAGTATTATGTGCTTGTCTCGACCAATCATAATCATTAATTAATGATTCAAGTTCTTCTAATTCTTTTAATTGTTTATCTTTATCAGAAATATTTTCACTTAATTGATTTAAATATTCAATTGTATATTCATTATCATCATTATTTATTGTTATAAAAGAAGTTAATTGATTTTCTGTTTCATTTAACCATGAAACAAATGTTTTATTATGTTTTTCATATTGATACCATATATCACATAGATGTTTTAATTCTAAAATAGCACGTTCAATTGTTTGTTTACCATTATTAATAACTAAATGCATTTGTTCAAAATTTTGTTGATAATTTAATTTAATCATTGAATTTAAATTGAATTCAATTATTAAATGATATTGTTCATAACTTTGATTAAATTCTTGTTCAAGATTTTCTAATTCAAATTTATATTCCTATAGAAAGAAAAAAAAACACCAACAGTTTTATTTAAATTGAATAAGACAAAAAAAAAAGAAGAAAGTTCAACAAACTTCGATTTTATTTAAACGACTTTGTAATGTATCTAAATCACAATCTGTTTTTGTACATAATGATAAACGATCCATTAAAAATTTTAATTTTTCCATTATAGATTGTTTACTATCTTCAATAAATATTTGTGTACGAACAAATTCTTCTAATAAATTTGTTTTTATCTAATTAAAAAAAATAAAAATGAGATTCATTGAAATAAAAAAGGAAAAAGAAAATTTTTACTCGAAGTTCTTCTTGAAATTCATTTAATATTTGTTGAATTATATCAAATCGATCATTATCAAGAATTTTTTCTTTTAATGTATTTAATAATGTTTGTTTAACATTAATATCATTTGAAAAACATTTTAATTGATATAAACGTTTACGATTTTCATCACGTAAACTTAAATTATTTGTTAAATCATTTAATTTATAATGATGTTCATTTATCCAATCATTGATTTCATTTAATGTTTCATCAATTTCCATACGATCTATTTTAACATTATGTAAAATTTGTTTTAATTGTTTTTGTTTTATATTATAATTAGACCAACGTGCTTGATACTCAGTTATAATATTTTTTAATTGTGTACGACCTTCAATTGATGTTGTTTTGAATACTTGTTCAAGACAATCCTCAAGATTTGAAAGAAGACTTTCACCATCAATATTTTCATTGATTAAATCCTGAAAAAAAACACCAAGACATTCATTCGAATCAAATTATAAGAAAAGTATTTATCAATTTAAAAAAATTTCTTATTGTTTTTTTTTTTTGATAATTAGTATTTTTATGTATGGGATTATTTCTAATAGATTATTATTAACCGTTTCGGCTAGGAAAGTTGCTCGATAGAGCAGCAAGGAGGGAAATAACGTACTTCAATACATCCTGGAGTACAGTAAAAGTATGAAACTATACTGAGAGTGAAGTTAGAGCACGTGGAGTATAGTAGAAGAACTGTAGGAGTACATGAAATATGAGAATATGTCATTATCTTATTGATTTAAGTCTAGATTTTTCTTAGTTATAAAACTATAGTTCCATTGTGCTCTAAGAGTCCGTACTTCTTGTACACCAGAGAGCGCGGGAGGGCATCGTTTCTTCCTTGTATGGCATTTACTCGCTAGAACAGAGGTTCATTCGGACACTTGTTCACGAAGGATGTGGGTTTTCTGTTCCCCACATTCACGCCCTAGCCATTCATGACATGCATATTTTCTAGAACATTCACATTTTCGAAGAATTTTTGTGTTACTTATCCAGTGAACTATACATGAATAATCGTGGCATATTAATAAAGATGCACTTTTCTTCAAAGAAACTAAGTTATTGTATCATTTATTTGGGTGTGGGTGTGGGTGTGCGTTCTCTCTTCATCCATAAATACATCTCAATTCTACACCCACATCCAGGTGAGCAAATGTCCTAGACTCCTAAGTTTTCCTTTACAGCAATGAACAAACTCTATTCCTTCACTCCCTCAAGTTCCATTAGTCCTTTTGCTACGTTTACTTCCATTAATTCAAAGATCCTAAAGAAATAAAGATTATTCATAGTTGTAAAGGAAAAATTCGACCAGGGTAACTTTAATGTCTCATAGACCTACATTTTGTATTACACTCCAATATCTTTCTAAGTCTGAGAATAATTTGAAAATAAAGAAATTTAATGTTGAATTCTATTCATTAATACTCAAAAAAGATTTTAAAAAAAATCGTTGTTTATTTTCTTGATATATCATAAACTTATAATGATATAAAAATCTTTTAAACTTGATCAAAATGTTTAAAAAAAATCTCTTAGACAAATTTCTATTTTCTACATACTTCTACACTTCGATAATGTTCTTCAATAACATAATCTGATTTCATTTCATTAGTTGATGTATGTTTTTCTAATCGATTTTCAGCATCTGTCATCCATTGATGGAAGCTTTCTGATATTGTTTCAAAATGTTCATGATATTCAACAGCTTCTGATGCTTGAATTAATGCATCCTATTTAAAATTTTATTTTATTGATTTAAATAGAAAAAAAAAAAGAGAAAAGAAAAAACATACTTGAGCATTTGAAAGTAATTGTTGTCGTTTTTCTATTGATTGATTATAATTTTGAATTAAAGAAACAATTGAAACTTTATTTTCAAGTTGTTTTAATTCTTGTTTAAGATCTACATAAGTTTCCAAAGTTCGAATAAGAGTCTTTGAACGAAAAGAAAAAAAAAACAGTAAATTTTTTTTTGCTTTCTAATAAAAAAATTTTAATTGATAAATTAATTTTTACTTTGATTTGTTCAAGTTTATCTAATTTTAATGCAAGTGTTGGTTGATTTGCAATCAATAATTGAAGAGAATTTTCTTGTTGTTTTAACCATTGATGAATTTGATTAATTTCAGCATCAAATTTTTTAATTTCATTTTCAATTTTATTTATTTCTTCTTTTTGATCATCAAAATCACTTATAAATTCAATCCATTCATCATCAATAGCTTGACATTCATCATCGATTTCATTTATATTATATTCATTATTTAATAAATTTCGTGTTAATTTTATATGTTCAATTGCTTGATGAACATAAACACGTCCATTTGTTAATGAATGTGCAATTTCCTAATCAAAAACAAAAAAATATATTAATTTTATTGTTTTTTTTTTTTTTTTATTTATTTATTTACATTGATTAATCTTTGTTTAGCATCAATAGTTAAACGATAATCATTATTTATTCGTGTTAATTTAACACGTAAATTTTCCATAAATTTTCTATAATTTTCAATTGAATTATTTGTTTCACTTTCAATACGTTCATCTATACGTTCAATAAAACGATTTATATCTTGACTTAATATTCTATAACGATTATTTATATTCATTAATGTTGTACATAATTGAGTACTTTCATGACGAATATTATTATTTGTATATTGTTGAATATTTTCATTTAATTCTTGAAGTTTAGAATTAAATAATAATGAAAGTTCTGTTTGAATTTGTTTTATTTGTTGATGAAGTTTAACAAAATTTTCAATTGATTCTGTTTCATTAAAAATTTTTTCATAAGATTCTGTTTGTTCAGTTAATTTTAATAATAATGGATTAAGTAAATCAAGATCTAATAATAATTTTGAACTTTGTTCTTGAATATTACGTTCATTTTCAACAGATTGATTAATTTGATAATCAAAATTTTGTAAACGTTGATAAATATTATGACGATATTGTTCTAATTCATTAAAATATTGTTCATTACAATCTAGTTTTATACGAGTTAATTGTTCATCAAAATTAGTAAATAAATTAGCTATAATTGGACGTTGAAACTATACAAAAAAAGAAAAAGAACAAAACAATAAAAATTCTAATATATTTTTGATTAATATACTTGTATAATTTCAAGAAAACGATTTTGATCACTATTATCAATCATTTTAGATGCTAATTCATCAAGTCCATGAACTTTTGTATCAAGTTCTTTTTGAATTTTTTCAATAGATTGTAAATAATTACATATAGTTTCTGTACGTTTTATATGATCATGTAAATTAACCTAAAAAACAAATATATTGAATAATTCAAAATGAATTTCTTTTTTATATTTTAACTAATTTGATAAATGTGTGAGATCTACTAACACTTACTTCAAATGTTTCACTCATTTTTGCTTGTAAATCTGAGAGATTAAAATATGTTGACCAATTCATTTCATACCATGGCTTTAATAAGCTGATAAATTCATCACATCGTTTTTGACATATTGCCATATCATGTTCAGCACTTTGACGTTGATCTAATTCAGTTTGCTAAATACATATAAATCTAATAGAACAAAAGAAATTTTTTTTTTAATTTTCAATTCACTTTTAATTTATTTAAATGATTTTTTGCTTGTTGAAATGAATTGGAATTAATAATAGTTTCATTTAAAATTAATTCAACATTATGTATAGTTATTTCAATTTGTTTTCGAAGTATTTCTATTTCATTATATAACGTATATGCTCGTTGTAGAGCATAGATACGTTCATTTGTTTCAACATTTAATTTTTCCAAATCGATTTGAGTTTTTTCTATTATATTTTCATTTTCAGTCGTTGTATTTATCGATGTTCGTACCAATTGTTTGAATAATGGATCGAGTTCATGTTCGATTTCGTCTTGTAAATGCTGGAAAGCAAAAGCTCACGAGAAGAGCTAGCTGCGAGTGTGCAGCAGGATACAAAAGGATTGGAGAGATAGAAATCAAGCATGCAAGACGAAGTGTTAAGCATAGAAAAGCAAGTATATAGGAATAAATGTGATAGAGATATGTGTCATATCTATATATCTACGTGTGCATTAGTGAAACCTATACACACACGGACACACAGTCTATGTTGCAGATATGTAGAAGGGCATAGAACGTTTTAGGCGAGTGCTCGCATTTTTATTATGGCTGATTTTTGTTTTAATTTCAATATCGAGAGTGGCGATATAAAACTAATTTTTCTAGAACACATTTGTTGGTTTTTTTTGTTTTATATTTTAATTCCCTAAATTCCGTTTTTTTTTATTGTTTCCACGCAATAATGTTTAATTAAGTCAATAATTAGGAAAGAAAAAAAAAAAGGAAGAAAGAAAATATTTAGCTAACATACTTTGATGACAATCATGAGATCTTCTATATCATGAACTGTATAACCAGATAGACGAGCTGAACGAATATTGTTACTTAAAGTATTGATACGAGAAAGTAAATTGTTATGAGCTTGAGTAAAATCTTCTACTAATTGATTTAATTCTTGAGTTTGAGTACGACGTTGAATAAGCTATGAAAATCATTTTTCGTATTATTTAGTTAAAAAAACAAAAGAAAGAATATAGTCAAATATGTCCGTTTAAGTTTATTATTACAAAACAATCTTAAAAGATTATAAATTTATGTAAAATAAAATTCTTAGTTTCGTAAAAGGACACGATGAAGAAATTTTTCTCATACCGATACAAAACTCAATAGGTATTGGTCGAAGTGATGTTTTCATTAGTATAACTGTTTCATATAGATAGTGAGAAAGTTTCTGAAGAACATGTTTTTTCTCATTTGTCGATCGATTATGAGAGCCAGTAGAAAATGTAAAGTATTTGAGTTAGAATAAGAATTTTGTGCGCTTTCTGACTATATATGTTTAGAATTTTACATGAGACTTATGAATTAGAAATTATGAGTGAATCTTTGAAAATCTCGAAAATAAAGTTTGCATGAGTTTTGATGGGCAAAAAAAAACCTATCCGAGGTAGAAATAAAGTTGATTACAAATACGTTAAAAGAAAGAGCAAATATTTCGGAAACAAAAATCATATCCTAATCATTAGATTTCTATGGTGCTTCTATCGATTATAAGACTTTTAGTAAAAGACATATTAAGTTCTTCAAAACTCCTTGATTTTCAGACTTACAAAAATCAGCTCGATTATTTCGGAAGGGGTTGGCTGTAAGACTTTCAGTTCTTAGCTGACCTAAAAAATTTCAAAACGTAATGCAACGAAGCAAAAGTACAATCAAAAGTGATTATAAGCTTTTAATATCATCTTCCCTTCCACTCAGGACAACTCTATATTTAGACGAAATTGAACTAAACTTACTCTATTTTCAGCCATATCAATTAAATTTTGAATATTACGACTTTCAACCGTAAAGAAAATTGTTCGATTTGTTGTTGAATCTGTTATTGTTGTATTACTTTCTTCCATTAAACGATCGAGTATACTACTTTCTGATTGTATTGTACGTAAATCTGTTACATAACGTTCAAGTTGAGTTTTTAATACATCAATATCATGAATTTTAATTTGTTGTTTTTGTTGTAAATCATCATTTATTTGTTGTAATTTATTTCGTAATTCATTTGAACGTTTTATATGTTCGTCAAAACGTTTTAATAAATCGATACGTTTTTGTAAAATATTTTCATAACTTATAAAACAAAAACAAAAACAAAAACATAATTCAATTTGTATTCGTTTTTTTTCTTTGGTGTCTTTATTTAACTTACATGTTTAATCGTTGTCGATGAGTTTCATAAGTATTTTGTATAGTTTGTAATTCAATTTTTGGTAAACCAGCAACTTCAAGATCAGCTAATTCATGTCCAACAATTAAAAGTAATGGTTGAATTGATTGTAATTGTTTTTCAATTTGTTGTAAACGTTCTAATGTTTGATTCCATGTTGAACTTTGTATTTGTCCATTATTTTCAATTAATTCAACAATATCACGTACATTTCGTTCAAATGATTCAAAACGATTATGAAATGATTTACGAGATTCATATAAATGTTCGGTTTCACGAAGCTAAAAAATAAAAAATAATTTATTTTAAGATTTTATTGAGAAAAATTATTTGTTAAGTAATAAATTAACGTTTCATATTACGTACTTTAATTGTAAATTTTTTTGTAATATAACAATGTTATAGGTTTTATTGACAATAGTGTTAGATCATTTATAAGGTTATATGTGTTATCGAATACTATAGAAAGTGATACTTTGATTTAAGAATCATTCTACTCAATTAGAGATCATAAACTTTGTCTTATACTATTAAGTCATATTTAATTTATTAGTAGAGATCTTAATGAAAAATTTTCTAATACTTCGACAAGAAAATTTTCAATAGGACTAAAAATTTTGGTTCTAAACCTGAAACAACATAGTCTGCATAATAGGAAAGATTTTACGTAAATTCAAGTAATCGTTTGAACATTCTTCTATAGCGATTGGTTGTGATTTATATGGAATGGCTATTAATCAAACTTGAGAATTCTATACGAAAAAAATTTTTTATACAAGCTAATTTGTTTTTTAGTAATTATAAAGAATTTTTAAGAGCATTTAATTAACTAAAAATAAAAATATGATTTTTTTTTCCTAAAAAAATGTTTTACATAAACAACTTATAAAAGATAAAAACAAAATGATTCTAATGAAGTGAAACCTACTCTGACATGAGTTACCCACATTGTTTGACGATATACTTTCTATTACTTCATCAAATGTCTGTTTCTTATTGTAATATTGAACTCAAAAAATTTTTTTTTTCGAAGAAAAATGAGAAGACATACAGTCTTTTCTCATGTTACATCATTTTCTTTATGCCAACAAATGACTTTAATTTTTTTTTTCTTTTCAAATATTTTATCTTTTGTAATATGATTTCAAGCTTACTCTATCAGTAATAAGTTGATTAAGTTGATTCCATCGTTTTTCAATTGATAATTGTTCTTCAGTAAGTATTCGTTGACCTTCTGATGAACTATATTGTCTTAAATCATTGAATTGTTTATGTAAACGATTATAATTTGATGTATGACTACTAATATTTTCATTAAGTAACTTTAAAAAAAAAACAAAAGATTTAACAAAAAGCCAAGAATGAAATTATTTTTCTTCTTACTCGTAATTCATTGAGTAATGTATTAATTCGATTAAGATCAAATAATTTATTAATTTCTATTAAATTTATATTATGAATTCGTTGTTCAAATTCAAATAAAATTTCATCACGAAATGAATTTAATTCTGAATCAAATGTTGTCCATGCACGATGTTGTGCATTATAAATCGATGCTAATTCATCAGATCTTCGTTCTATATCCATCCAACGTGTTGATAAAGATTTTATTAATGATTTTAATTCATATTGATCACCTATATTATGTTCTTCATCATGTAAATTATTGTATATAGTTAACATACGACGACGTTCTTCAAGAAGTTCCTTTTTCGAGAAAGAAAAAAAAATACACATAGATAAAAAAAAATATTGTGTTTAATTTTTTTGTTTTTTACTTTATGTTTATCAAGTAATTGTTTAGCATCATTTGTATTCAAAGCACCAATTTGACTAAAACGTTTATTAAGATAATATTCTGTTTGTTCAATCCATGGTTGTAATTGTTGAATATAACGTTGTGATGTTTGTACATGTGTTCGACATTGTACAACTTGTTCTTCTTCTCGATTGATTTTATTAGATGTTGTTTCAGCTAATGCACGTAATTGATTTAAACGATTTAAAACATTTCGTAAATCTCTTGGTCGAGAACGAAGTGATTCAAGATTTGTACCATCAGAATGTAAGACTGATAATGAATGTAAATGTCCAGAGAGTTCAATACGAATACGCTACAAAATCAAAATTGATTTTCATTATTCTTTTTTGATTTGCCGGGGTTATTATTCAAAAAGAAATTAAGCAAAGAGAAATTTATCGTATAAAATGATTTCTATTAACATTTTACATAAAGGATTAATACATATTTTCAGATTGCATCTGATTCTAGAACTTTGTTGTTTGGACTTAATAACGGATGCGCTGAAAGTTTTGAGATAACATGTTTGTTTATTTTTGGTTACCTTAAAAGTATTTCCGAGGAGTCAAAAACTACAGATTATGGTTAGTGTTCGATGTGACTCACGATTATCACAATCATAGTCATGACCGTGACTGGAATTTGGTCACGAACAGTCACAGATACTAAAATAGTCACATATCCTGCGTCTGTGTTAACTCTATTACTTTTTTCACAACACAAATATAATTTCATATTCTTAACTTATTGCGATAATTTATTCATTTTTCTGAATCAAAACACAACTAGACATAAATGTTACATGAGGAATTAGAACTCAACAAAATTTAAAATTTTCCTAGAACAAATTAAAATTGAGAGTGCGGGTCAGGCAAGGGAAAAACGACGTACACCCATACTCTCTGAAGTACAAGACGTACGAGAGTACATCGTTATTTTCTTGGATTTAGATCTAGATTTTTCTTAATTATAAAACTGTACTTCCAGTAAACTCTGAGCTTCGTACTCCGTGTGTTCCCACTGTGCTCTCGTATTTTTTTTGTACTCAGGAGAGCGCTGAAGGATGTCGTTTCCACTCTGACTTGAACTCCATGCACTCCCCTATACTTCGAAAGTTCAGGGAGTACGGGAGTACAGAGTACGTTGTTTCTTCATTGGGTTCAAGTGAAATTTTAAATTTTAATTTCTTCTGGCACAAATATACAACAAGCACAAGCCATAATAAAAGTACATATTTTGTTGCAAATACAGTCAAATGAAAGTACGTATATGTTACTATTCCATTGAACTGCATCGAATTAATTCAGAATATAGGTTTTTTTTTCTTCCCAGTTAATAATCTCATCATTTTTATTTGCTTGTACTTTTATCTAACTTTCGTCTCAATAAACATCGTTCAAGAAAAGAGATCAGAACTCGCAATAAACTGAAAAGAATGACGGGTGATGCCAAGGGAGAAAAAGCGAGACTTCAGCATTCCGAAGTATGTCGAAAGTAAATGTTGACATCTTTATTAATATATCAGTTTGTAGAGCAGAAACTTTCCTACAAAATTTATTATTAGAGTTTTTCCACAGATCATTTCAATTTTCGTTTCTCTTAGAACCTAATTAATATACTGAACAGATATACTTGATGTCTCAATTAAGTTAATTGAGCATTTTGTCTAAAATTGAATCATTAGACTGTTCTACGACAATTTATTTTCTTTCTTTTTTTTTTTTTTTAAATTTACAACTTTTTTTTGTACCTCCAATATTTGTTGTTTTTCTTCCAATGATTTATCTCCAAGTGTTTTTGTATCAGACATTGAAGTAAATAATGTTTCTAAACGTTCAAGTTCATTATTAAATTGTATCCATTTATCATTATCAGATATTAATTCTTGTAAAATTTCATCAATTATTCGTAATTTTTCAAATAAATCTTCTTGTATATTATCATAATCAGTTTTAAGTATTTGGATATTTCCATAAGGTAATAAATTATTTGATGATATTGTTTGTAAAACTTGTCCTGTTTCATCAAGTAATGGTTTTAAATCAGCATAAGAATTTCGAAGATGCTAAATAGAAAAAAAACAAAAACAATAGAACAGAATATAGGAGTGTTGATCTTTTTTTGTTTGTACTTTGCAATTATCGATTTCATGTTGAAATGAAACAATCGAATTTCTATTAACATTTAATTGTGAAAGTTCATTATTTAATCGTTCAGTTTGTTGTTGATAACGACGTTTATTTGTATCAAAACGTTCCCAAAGTTCAAGTAAACGCTATAATAAAACAAACATGAAAAGAAGAAAATTCATTTGTTTCTTTTCTTTTTTTTTTACTTGAAGTTTTTCTAATAAATCTTGTGCTGATTGAATTTTATCATTATAAAGTTTTTGTATATTTTGTATATCTTGTTGAACATATTTCGGTACCATAGGTAATTTCATATGTTTATTACCACGTGTAATAAGTTCATTAACTTGTTGTGAAAAATTTTTTAAATTATTATAAATTTGAGTTTGATCTTGTAATGCATTACGAACATCAGATACATCACGAAAATTAATTAATACATTTGATATATTTATTAATGATGCATTTAATTGTAAACTATCTTCATGAATTATTTTAGCTGGAATAATAACAGAACAATATTGAGATGTTTCATCAATAGAAATACATAATTGTTTATAACGTGATAAAAGTAAATCAAGTCGTTGACGATAACGTGCTGGTTCATCAGTAGCTTGTTCTTCGATTAGATCATTTAAGATTAATGATAAAGTTTTCGTATGATCAGATATAATGCCGATTTGTTGAGATTCATTCTATCAAATGAAAAGAATATTGTGAACTATGTTTTTGAAGTGATTAAAATTTTTGAAAAAAAAAAGTGAAATGTTTTTCATTTACACTTTTGAAATACTGATTAATAATAGAAATAGATCAGTTTTATGACCTTTGTTATTATATTTAGCTAAAACAATAGGTTCTTTCTCAACATATCAAATGCTACAAAAAAAAAAGAGCGTCAAGATTCGATGCAGAGATATCGATCGTGATGATGTTACAGCTTTTTTTGCTGGAGAATATTGCAAAACTGTATGGATTTGCACGGAATTTTACAACGGCAGAGTTTCAGCCACGATGGACATCTCGAATTTGTTCTTTTCAAAGAAGTCGTATCTGACGAAATGAGACATCCTTCTTTTTTGAATGAATTTTGTTAGACTAGCTCAAGATCAATTCGATCTATTTAGAGATGAAATCTCAAATTGAAATTCCGTACTATCTTATGTCATAAATTTTTCGTTAAAAATTAATAGAATCTTGTTCGTAGGTAGAATTTTAATATTGATTTCAAAGTTGAATAAAACAGATGAAAGTAAGAGTTCATTGTTCCAGATATAAGTTTGAACCAGAGTTCCAAACAGATCATCGAGTCTGCCTATTATGTTTTATGTTGGGCAAAAATGTGGTTATCAAAAGATCCAGTAGAGTATCTTTGATACTGGTGGAATAAAAATGAATTTCTAGTATCTTGACTGGACACAATCATGGGTATTAATATATATGATGATCACATTCTTCATAGTTTATTTATTCATTCTTTTAGCTAAGTTACTGTTATTTGATCTAAATCGTTCACTAATTCTTACTAATCTGTACTTTAAATTTTTTTATTGTCATATAGTGTCTAATCTTGATATGTCCTCTTCAACTTGTTTGTCATATCTATTCGAAATCTTCTTCATCAAAAATAGGTTTTTTTTTTCTAAATTTTAATATTTTCTGTTTATCATTTCGTTTCCTATCAAAACAATCTTCTATTTTCATTCTAATTTCGTTATAATATTAACATACAAAAAACAAAAATTACATAAGTCGCTACAGATATGTCAAACCAAGAAAAACATATAACAAGGATAAAAAAAGCAAAAGGAGTCTATAGTCTATCAAAATTATAAGAAAAGTCTATGATCAGAATCTATACTAAAATTCTATAAAAGAAAATTTTAAGTTAATATGATTTATAGTTAAACAAACTATTTTAAAAAGTTTGACAAACCTTAAATTTATTGACAAATGATGTATATTGTTCTAAAGGTATTTCAGTATTCTGTGTATTAGCCATTGATCGTTCAATAGTAGCCATCCAAGTTTCAACAAGATGAAATCTAAAATGAAAAACAAAATTTATATATAATATTTTATTTTTGTTAATTTTTTTTGTATCTTAAAATTTACTTTTCTTCAAATTCTTGCCATTTTTTGGGTATAGTTTGAAGTTTTTTTCTAACATTATCAATTTTAGTTTGCATACGTGTCCAATAATTATTTAATTTAATTGTACGTTGATCAATTTGTTCATTATCATATGTAACTAATGTTTGTTCTTGTTCTTTAGTACGAATATCATTAGCATATGTATGTAAATCTTTCATATGTATTTCCATAGTTGGATGAAAATTATTTAATTGAAAACGTTCATTATGACGACGTAAAATTTCTGTTGTATCATGTTGACGTTCTAATTGTTTAAGTTCATCATTAAGTTCATTTTCAGCTTGTTCTAATTCTTGTACAATAATATGTTCAATACGTTCAAATTGTAAACGTAATAAACGTATTGGTGCATAACATATTATTGTTTTCCATTTTGATTCAAGTGTATCCATTAAATATTGTATTTCTTTTTGTTCAGTTTTATCTCTCATATGTAATAATTCACGTCCAGATTTAATAAAACCATGTAAAATTTCATCATCAATTGTTTGAAAAAAATCTTTATGTTTACGAATAAGATATGTATAATCATCATGTTTTTCTTTAACGATCTTTTGTGCTTGATCTATCCATTCTTCTAAATATTTTAAACGTTGATGAAAATCTTTCCATAATTGACAATGTTGATTAAATTCTTTTTCCCAATAAGATGCTTTTTGATTTATTTGCTAAAAGAAAAAATTTTTAAACAAAAAAAAAATGTTTTGTTTTTTTTTAATGAAATTTGATTACTTCAAATGTATCGATTAATTGTCGATATTGTTCATCAACTGGAGAAAAATCTAATGGAATTAAATTTTCATTGGATATTTTCATGGTTAAAATTAATTTTGCTTTATTTTCAAGTAATGATTGATAATAACCAATTTCAGCAAAAAAATTCTACAAAAATAATCAAGATAGTTAATCATAAGTTTATTAAAATATTTACTCGATGTTGTTCAAGAAAATCTTCAATACGTTTCACTGGTACTTGAATTGAATATCGACTAATTAATTTTTTAGCTTCGTCAAACCATTGTTGACATTTTTGTAAACCATCTTCAAATTTTTGTAAATGTCCAAGCATAATTTTATTTCGTTTTAATGTTGATGGTAAAGATTCTTGTACTCGATGTAGTTTATCAAAACATGTTTGTAAAATCGAATTCATTTCACTTGTTGCATATGTTTCACCACTTTCACGTGCTATTATTTGACCTAATTTAGCAAGAGCTTGAATATTTTCATTGAGCATATCAATTCCTGATTGTGCTTTCTAATAAATAATAAAAAAAAAACTGAACAAGATCAAAAATTCTTTTAAACTTACATAAAGACGATTTTCTTGATCTTTAAGTGCTTTTATTGTACATGATAAATAAACTTGTATTTCTGCATCAATTTTATCTAATGTATCTAATATATTTGAACGACCAGCATAAAATTCATCACGTTTTTTCTTAATTGATTCACCATGTTCAAATTGTTGAACACGATCAAATATTTCTTTCCATCGACGATTAATAAATAAAAATTTCTTTTGTAAAGTTGCAACTATTTCATCATCACATACAGACATTAAACTTTCCATTGCTATAACTAATTTTCCATGTATTTCAGCCCAATGATTTATATTTGTAAAATAATTCTATTAATATAAAGAATTATAAAAATTCGAATATTGAACAAATATTTAAAAGAATAATTTCATTTCTTCAGGATCTTTTTAATGTAATAGTTATATTTTTATTTAAACATTATAATAATACATTTAGAATTAGTAAGTAGAGTTGTGCAGACGAAGCTTTCTTCATACCTTTATTCTACTCTATGGATTTTTTCTTCATTCTAATCCTACAGAGTAGAATAGAATACAAGTAAGGTTACCACGAACAGTTCTATTCGTTAAAAAGTCCATTTTTAGCAAAATGGCCGAAAATGGTATTCGTTTGTTTTAATAGTCTTTGTTCCATATCTATGAGTGTAACCTTAAGACTTCAAAATCATATGTAGTTTCTTTAGTATGTGTTGTTCTTCTAGACTTAGTATGAAACAATGGAGTTTATTCTTCTTTTGCTTATATACATTAATACTTGACATAGATGATACAGAATATTACAATAAAATAGCAATCTTTTCATTAATATTTATAGGGAAAACTTTCTAATTTCTCTTGAAAGGAAGCGTTTGTATAGTTCAAATAAGGCTATTTTTGAATAGACATAAGAGTTTTGAAAAATAGAAATAAATGAAGAGTAGGACTTGTAATGATTTTACAAACTATAAAGTAGAGTGTGGTAGAATAATATTGACCCCTAAAATGTCCCATTCTTCCTATGTCATCGAATCCAATATCACTCCAGTAATTCTAATCTATTTTCAAGTTTATGAAAATTTTTTGTATATTTCTGTTTGTCAGCTAGTTTTCAATTCGGTTTTATCCAGCAGAATAAACAAATTTTTTTCGAAGAACTCATAGAATTTAACTATCGACGGAAGCATCCCAACTGATTACTCACTTTTGTATTGAGACTAGATGTATCATGTAAAACTAAATGAAGTATAAATATTCTGAAAACAATTCATACCTTTAGCTTATTCCTGCCAAGATACAACTTGAAATGTTGCATATAGACAAGTCTTAAGGGGGGGATTCGTTTTTAGGATTTCTAAAGAATGGTATTTGCAGAAGACAATTCGAAGATATACTGGCAATCAAAAAAAAATTTTGATTTTAACCTCTGAAAATGGGTATTCATTTTAAAAGTACTGTGAAAGTACAATATTTCGGTTAAGACCTTCGATGGTTTTTAGAAATGGAATGAGCTAAAAATTCCATAGGTAGTCAGAGATAGTTAGTCTGGCAGATAGTGCCTGAGAAAAGTTGTCTTCTTAAATTTGACAGTGGGCCTTGTCTGGTTGGTTCAGGTCTGAAAATTTGAGATCTCATAGGCTCTAATCGTCTAAGAAATGTGTAGATTGCATTAGTCATCGAATACAAAAAACTGGAAAAAAAAGTATCTCATGTCTTCGGAGTAATTATCCAATTCTGATTAGAAAATTTCATTGAGAATATCAAAGTACGATTTGACTGGGTACGAAAATTTTAGACCCGACGAGCTCCACTTGGCAGATATTTTTTTCGATAACAGTTCAAAATTTTCGCAGACACTTTGTAAAAAATTGGAAGGGACCAACTTATTTCAGCCCTTCCCGCATCAAGACCTATGGTTGGAAGACTTTCCTCGTAAGAGACACAAAAGATTCTTACACATACTTTTTTTAGTCTAAAGAAATGACTTTAAAAATTTGATTTTCTATTTTTTCTCATATTCAAAATAAACCAATAATTCGAAGATAGAGTTAATTATCTATTGAAGAGGATATTTTAAAATGAAAAACTATCATATATCAAGGTGTAATATTCTTTTTTTCTCTCATCTTTTACAGGAATACTTATATTCGATATGAATTCGTTCAAGAGCAATTTATTGACATAATTTATTTCAAGGATACAAAAAAAAAGAATTGAACTTGAGCTTACAAATTTTTCTTTTGATGAACGTAGAAGCACTTGATCACCTTCAGTTAACCATTTTTCTAATTGATCATATGAATTAAGATAGATTTTCCAATTATCCATTGTTTCTTGTAACATATGTTCTTTTGTTTTAAGATCAAGAGCTGAACTTTTTAATGTTTTACGAACATATTCACAATATGCATTAAAACCTTTCGATGTTTGATCATCTTTTTTTTATTTCGTTTAAACAAAAACGAAAAATTTTATTTATTAAATTAAATTTAAGATCTTACCTTTCTTTCGTAATTGACTATAATTTTGTGCTTTACGTGTTAATTCTGGTAGAAGACTTTCAATAGTTGCAATAATTTTTTCATCATGAATTTTTCGCTAAAAATAAAAATAGACAAAACATTGTTTTAAATTTTTCTTGTCTCCTTTTTATACTTTATATTCATTAAATAATTGTTCTGTTTGATGAATATTTCCTTGTTTTTTATTTAAAATTTCCATTAAATGTTCTAATTGAACAAAATATATTTGTACTTTCCAATGTATTTGTTCAAAATCTAAATAATGTCCTCGTTCATCACTACTATTTATTATTATATTAAGACGTTCATCTAAATTTGTTAAATGTTCTATTGCTACTTGTTGATTAACAATAGATGGATCACGTTTTAAACGTTGAAATTTTGTTGAAATAACTTCTTTATCGGTAAAAATAGCCTAAAACAAGGAAACGAATGTTTCATTTCAAACAAAAATAAAAAAGAAATCAAATAAAGATTCTTACCGTATGTTCTTCATGAAGTTGATTAAAACGTTGAAGATTTTCTTCAGGTGTTAAATTTGATGGATCAAAATTAATTCCTCGTGCTAAAACATCTTCAGCTCTATAGACCCATTCAGCAATTTGACGAAGATCTCCTGGAAGATTTAAATCTAATTTATGTCGCCATCGATTCATTCTATAAGAATAAAGAAAAGAAAAAAAAATTGTTCGTTTAAATAAAAAAATTAAAAAAACGAAAGAATTACAATGTCTACCTTTGAGCAATGTCGTCAAATTGATCTTTTAATTCTTTCAATTTTTCACCGGGAAAATGTGGAGATTTGGACTCTTTGCGTTCGAATGCTTTCCATTGCTTTTGCTTTTCAACAAATTCTTTAGCTTGTTTAACGTACTCCTATTAAAGCCAAAATGAAGAAATACTTTTTTCTTAATAGATATAATTGCGGTTTGTTTGTAATTCAGTAGCACTTTTTTTTCTTAGTATTACTTTATACAGACATTCATTCTTATAGTTATATACCCTTCTTATTCTCTCTCTCTCTCTCTCTCTCTCTCTCTCTCTTTCTCTCTCTCCTTGTCTGTATGAACAGTAAAGGCAAACATTCACACATCGAATGAGTAGCTACTTTATATTCAGCTTGAATGTCTACAATGGATGCTTCAGTAACGTGCGTCAAACGTTGTCGAGTGTCTGCTAACCAACGAAGAAGTTCACCATGTTCTTTATTTATCGATCCGAAAGGCTGAAAAGAAGAATAAAAGAGAGAATTTTTAAAACAAACTTTCAGATGAACAAACACACACATGACACATACCAAATCAGGGAATCGGCGAGAGAATTGAGCTATATAAGTCATAATCGATTTTTCGTCTGGTTTGGTTACATCAACATCTGTAAAAGAGAGACTAAAGAGTAAATATGTGATGTTTATTTTATAATATTAAACTTGAACTTTGCTCATTATTCGTTCACCTCTTTTCTTAATATATATTGAATGAGTTCATTCATAAATGCATCTGTTCTCTTTTTCTTTTTTTTTCGAAATTTTACTTATGTTATTTTAATAGAAGACTTAATTTAAATTATAAAAAAAAAAAAAGCGAGAAGAAAAAATGAGACAAACCTTCAGCATCAATTAAACGTGGTACACCAAGATGTTGTTCAGCAACATTGAAAGCATTCTCTAATCGATCACGAACGTCCATTCTTGAAATACGACGTAAATCAATTAATTCAGGTCGAATTGAATAAATTAATGCATTAAAAGCAAGACCATCACGCCAACTCGATGTAAAATCTCGTACATCCAATCCTTCCATTCTTCTAATAAAAATTAAAAATAAAATATGATTATCTATTCTAAACATTAAGTTAAATGAAAAAAAAAAAAATTATTTTTTCAACAAGAAGAAGAAGAAGAGATCTAGAATATGTTCATGCATTTTAGTATATATTCTCACCGAAGTAATTCAGATGATGAAAAACATCTAAATTTATTTTTTTATAGAAAAATATTCACATAGGAATAAAACAAAAACAAAAAATAAATAAATGTTAAATAAAACTAATTAATAACATACCCTCTTGTCTTTTTTCGAACCCATTCAAGTAGAGCTTCTTTTGCTTTAGTACGATTATCTTTTGAATCTCCATCGAACATACTTGAATCTTCAATCTTAATATATTAAATGACAATCAATGAAATATTTTGATTTTTATAATTTGAATGTCTCTATGATGTTTTTTATCAAACACAATAGATTTTTTGTTGTTGTATGATTTATATTGTCAAACAATTTTTTTTTATCCTATTGATTTTAATGAAAAATTCACAAAGGTTTCATAATTGTTTGTTTAAGTTTTTCCATACAACGAGACATTTTTATTCTCAAATTTTTTTTTATTATTATTAAAGAAGGAATTTAATTTAGTTGATTATAATAGATAACATTTATTCAAGAGGAGACTAACATTCTGAAGCGTTGAAGTTTTATTTTTCTCTAATAAGAAGAAAATCTTTTCTGTCTAACAGAACACAAGCAAATTTTCAATTCCAATGGAAAGAAACAAAGATTTCTCACAATTAAAGGAGAAGATCACATGTCTGTTCCTAGTCAGAACAACTATAGAAATAGAATAAAGATATTCGAATTATTCATTATAAAATTACCTATGGCGAATTCTACTTATTTCTACGATTTTCGTCATTTGTAAAAAAGTGTGTTTAATGGATAAATAATGGAAAAAAAAAAGTAAATGAATAATATCGTTGTGAACATCTATAAATATTCAGAACAAGGAAAGTTTTGTAACTGATTAATCACTTTTGAATCAGAACTATGTAAGTCACATAGGCCCTAATAAGCTATGAATAACCTAAGAAGAATTCAAGTTCTTAGTTTATAGCTGCAGTAGTACGGCATTTTTACGATTTTTCTATAACCCAATGCCGTAATCCTCCGTCAGAAATACTAGGAAAATTGATTTCGACTTGAAATTTTGCGTATAGACAGACCTTGCCGAGAAAACTAGTTTATTATGAAAGTTTCATATCGTTTTATTGTTCCTATCCTAAGATACAGCTATGGCAAAAGCATGGCTTTGACATCGTCTATAAAACCTGGCTGATCCGATATGTAGTTTTCACAGTAATCTATTTCCATTGAGACTTGTCTCTACACTAAGTTTCAAGTTGAAATTAAAAAAAAAACAATTCTTCTGATATTCGTGAGGAGAATCACGGTATTGAGCTACAAAAAAAACTGCCATATCATCTCATCAATAAGCTAAAGAAGGTCTAAATTCTTCTCCGTGTACTTATAAATTATTAGAATCTACATAATATTCATAGTCTTGATCTAAGAAAGTGATTAATCAATTAGAGAACTTCGCTAGTATGTTCTTTTGTCGAGATATTGAGTTTGAAAATAAATTCGATTTTTGTGACAGAGAAACATTCTTCTCGACTGAAACTTTCATGATATTCTACTAATCGTTCGACCTATTTATGGGCGAAATTTCAGATTGAAATAACACGTTATTTGATTTTTCGGTAAATGTCTAAACTTTAATTGAAAATTCAATAAAACGATCATAACTCGACTCTAGAGGTTCACGAGTATAAATCCTTTTAGAATTTCTTCAAGACCTCCTTGTGAATCCAATATGAGCTCAAACGGTAAGTATTAGCTCGAATAGTCTCCTCGTGAGATTTCATCTGAATATTGTCAATTTATATCATTGTAATATTATTATTTTATATTATTTTAATTGATAATAACAGATATCAATTGTATCAACTAACCATACTCAACTATTATTGATTTGACAATACAGACAAGATTTCTTAAGATATTAATATCACCAGACATCTCTGAATAGACTTCACATAAGTGAATAGAGTATTTTTTGTGAACAAGTATCCTCATTGAGACGTCCTATAGATGAATAATACAATTTAAATCTTGTATTTTTCTCTACATCATATTTCTTTCTTTCCATGTTCAAATTTCTCCTAAAACCTGATTTATTTTAATACCAGAAAATATATTTCAAAGAACCTTTCTAATTTGTATGACTCATGTTTTCTTTTTACCTGATAACATAAAATTAACATCCAAATTAATCCTAAAATAATAGTTGGCCTTCCATCGGCAATATCAATTGGACCTATATTGACTAGTTTGATCTTTAATCAAAAAAAAAAAAAAATATATAAATTAAACAATTATTTATTATTTTCAAATAAATTACTTTTCGACTTTCAAGAAATTTCAATGCATTACTAATATTACTAAGATAATGAGCTCGTGTATTACCTCGTTCCATAGGCTATAATTATAAAAATATAAATAATAAAAAGAAAATTTTTCTTTCTTTTTATCTAATATACTAATGTTTGCCCAGAAAGTACTTCTAATAATGCAATAAGTTTTGTTCCATCTTTAAAATCTTCGAAGAGATCATTAATAAAAAAAGGTGGTTCATGTAATGATAAATAAATATTAACCCATTTTGTAAAAGTTTTCTTTTGAACACGTTCTTGTTCATCTAATCAAATAAAAACAAAATATATCATCATATTATATAATATCAACTCAGATTTAATTTCAACCAACTTCTTTACATAATTAAAAAAAATATATAAAGAACACTTTCAATCTATTCTCATGTATATCAGATGAAAATGTAATAGATATTATACTATCAATCGATACTCGATTAAAACAATAACATACTGATTTTTGAAAATGGCAAAAAGTTTTTTTTTTTGTAAAATAATAAAAGAAAAATTTTACAAGGTTTTTTCATATATAATTTATCGTCCATACAAAAAAAAAAAAAAACAACAAATTTTTAAACGATAAATATATCCTACTTTGAAGTGTATGTATACTAATTTCTAATTCACTACGACTTGAAATTGATCGTGGACTAATAACACTTGTTTCTGGAATAATACTTGTTATTCGAGATGCCGTTGGAGAAAAAAGTGATCGAGTTGGACTATGCATTGTGTTTTTAGTCTTAAATATAAATTTTCTTTTTTAAAACATCAATAAAAATTACAATACAATATGAATTTGAAAAAAAAAAATAATAATAATAATGTCAAAAAAAGAGAATATACACTAAATTTGTACATAGAACAGAACAATAAAATGAAAAAGAACTGTTATTTCATAATACAATAAAAGGAATAAAACCACATATATTTGTTTGTAACGAACATTCCAGTTGTGCATCAGTGACAACACCTCAAAAAAAAAAAAATGAACATACACATACATACAACAGTCTTTCTCATTCTCTTTCTTTTTCTCTCGTCTCTCTCTTCTTGTTACAACTAATTGAAAAAAGTCTCGAAATTGACTTTCGAAGAATATGTAATGTGTAGTGTTCTGTCGTGTACGATCAAAAAAACATATTCAACATTTGGCTTCTTCATAAGACATGGTGAAAATTTATACACACATATGAGTATTTTAAAGAAGTCAGAGAAGAAAGTGAGAATCGAAGAGAAACAGTCGAACAATATATTACGTTTATTGAACTTTCTGTTTTTTTCTCTCTTATTCCATTCTTCATCGTCGTCAATTCTATCATGCACAGTTCACAATCAGTCTTTCTTTTCAATGTCACGCAAACCCTATGATTCAATCTCTTACACAGTTTTCTATAAATATAACACGCACTTTTTTGACTCATTTCTCTATGACTTATCTTTCGACAGTATCCAATAAGGTACAACTAATAATTTATCTTTTTTTTTTTCATGTATAAAAATCCATATATGTAGAGAAGATTTTCCTTTTTTTTTTTTTGTCTTTTGATTACATCTATTTGCCTCTATCAAATACATATTCGAACAAGAAATTCGTTTCTATTACATTCCAACGACAAAGACAAAAGGTAAAACACTTGACAATTCAAGTATATGCATGTGGTTTTTAATGTAGTGTAGTATCTCCATCTTTCTCTCTCTCTCTCTCTCTGTTCCTTACTTGTCCATAATAATAGAACAAGAAAAGAGAATGAGAGTTACAGTTAAAAGCATACATATAAGTTTTTCTTTTCTCACTTTTTCTTCTATGTACAATGACTGAAAAGAAAATGAAACAAAATAAAGATTTCATTATTAATTTTCACATAGTTGAAGAAAAAGAAAAAGAAGTGAAGTTTTTTTTTTCTTCTTTAGTCAACAATACAGATATATGTTTGTATTTGATATGAAATAAAATGTGAAGTATATTACTATAAAATATGAAATTCAAATTAGAATAGTACTTAAAATAATAATTCATACGAATAACATTCATTTTAAGTCTAATATAAAAAAATATTTTTTTAAACAACCTTGTTCAATAGACAAATGTCTGCTAATTGATAAAATCATCATTAAATATAAGATTTTTATAACGAAAAAAAAAAGTTTCTTGTAATATAAATCAATAAAAGAAAAAAATGAAAAATACAAATAATAAAACAACGAATATCTTGTCTCGATCACGTTTATTTGCTAATAGTATTTTCTATATAATTGCTTATTGTTAACCTTGATTTTCAGATTTTAGATGATAACAAGCTGAATATATTGCAGAAGTTTGAATTACGATAAAAGAATTTGCAAAATAAAAGACATTTGCACTGAATTTATATTCTTATCTGAAGACCTTTTTTCTATTACTTGTAATAATCATAAATGTCGTTGTTTAGGGATGAATTATTGATAGTCATGCTAGATAACAATCATAGAAAAATATGACTTTTCGAATTTTCGATATAAATATTTGTGTAATATTATATTACCTTCTTCTCATTAGAAAAGTCTGACATTATCTTATTGAAACGAAATTGTAAAATCTAGGTAAGTTATTCAGTGTGCAAATAGTGTTCGAAAACGGATTGTTTATTACAATAGTAGTAAATTTTAAAAAAAAGTCGTTGTTGATCTTAATGAATAATTGAAGAAGTTTAGGTACGTGAACATATTAGAAATAAAGGTATTCGACTGATATCTTTATTATTAACTCCATAAGAATATTCAGTTTACTATAAAACATAATATAAAACAAAGAAATTACTAAAAAAATTGATGAACTTCACTAATTTTTAAGTGAAAATGTTCATTAATGTCGTAAATAATTCTGTAATGTCCATGAGAAAAACATATTTATTTCCTATACCTTCTAAAGATGAATGAATGGATTATAAAGTTATAGTACTATAAATAGTACTCTTTATAGGGTATCGGTCATAGTATAAAAGGATTCGGAGACCATATGTATATATAAAATTTATAGAAAAATGTTTGCAAGTTTTTTTTTTTTTTTGCAAACATCTGTATGCCTGTTTTGTGCTAAACTCCTCCTCGTCAAAATAGAAGTGCATGGTATAGAAACTCACATCGATCTTAGGTGGTGACCGGCTATTAATTGTTTTCTTTTTAGTGTCAATTTTACCTAAAAAATTTAGAATTTGTTTTGAAAACCTTTCGATATCTATTATGCTTTTTGAAATTGTTTTCAAGGATGATCTTCTGACATAAGGAATTAATTTCGAATTTGACGATGGTTATATTATTTATGCCATATTCATTCCATTTTACAATTAGACTTAACTTCTATTGATTATTGTTTTTTTCAGAAATAGGACTTAAATGAATTAAATTCATAGATTAAACTAAACCATCATTAGTCTCGTTACTCTTAACGAACTGATCGAAGCTATGAGATAAAAATATTTCTCTAAAACTGAATACAATAAAAAAAAATGCGTATTAGAAAACAGTTAAAGACATAACACTCGACATTATCTTATCATTTTAATGCATTAAAGAAAGAAAAAATCGAACTATTGATATTTGTTAAGTAAAATATACTGTTTTGTAAAACAGTAAATGCTGAATGTTTCTAGTAAACTAAATTAGGTCAAGCAGACTTAACAAAAGAGAAAACATTTTTTATAGAATAGAGATATCATCACAAGTCCATAATTCTTAAGAAAGTCGGCTATAATTCGATTGACATGAAGATGCTTATTTTTTCGATAAAAATAAATATGCACGCATCAGAATCACAAAACAAATTTAGTAATTCTATATAAAGAAACATGTACGTTATCAATTTTTTCGAATGTTTTTTTAGGAGAAAATTATCAATCTTGTCATATGACCCACCCTTTATGAAAAAAAAACAGATCAGTTTTTGATAAAGGACAAACTTTCAACGTTCTTCACTTCCTTTAAATTTCGAAACTGTTTGTTTCAGATTTAGCGTGAAAAACTGAATTTAGGAAGTTTCATTCATAAATGAATTTCCTACATTCAGTTTTTCACGCTAAATCTAAAGCAAACAGTTTTGAAATTTAAGGGAAGTGAAAAACGTTGAAAATTTGTCCTTTATCAAAAGTTGACCTGTTTTTTTTCCACAAAAAGTAGGTCATATGATAAGACTGATAATTCTCTTCTAAAAAGAAACATCCGAAAAAATTGAAAACACACGTATTCTTGATCAGCTCGTGACGTTCTATCTAATCATATATAAGGAAAAAAAAGAGAAGAACTTCTGCTATAATTTCACATTTCTGGCATCTTACCTGGAACATCTCTTTTAATTATGACATAAATTTTATTGAATAGTCGAACTACTTTTTACTTCTTCAATACATGATCCAAGAAGAAACGCTTTTAACATAATGAAAATATGCTATTTTATTATCAACCGGAAGGTTACAGTTTGTAATAAAAAGAAATTGTTCAATGTAACGTTTCAAAGCACAAAAATCTCTGCACGATAGACTTCAACATTCATTAACACAGAATGGTCTATTAATTTCATTACACTCAGAAGTATTTAATATCGTTTTTATCGTAATTTATTTTCTATGAAATTAAAAAAATTCTTTTTCTTTTTATCAACGGTAGTCCATAACAAAACCCGCTAGTGGGTTATTTTATTTGAAAAAAACCGAAATCAACAAACAATAACAAAAAAAAATGTTAAATAATGTTTTTTTTTTATTACTGCTTTTAATTATTGAAATAATCTTGTAATGATTCACCTAATGTTGATTCCATATCAATAATAATACGATGACAAGTTTTTTCAACTTCATCATTTGGATCTTAAGAAGAAAAAAAAAAAAAGAAAAGATAAATTAATTGAATTTCTTTTTTTAAAGTATTGAATATTATTCTATACCTTCCATTAATTCAGCCATAAATGGTATAGCTTCTGGTAAAAGACTTTGATAATTCATTCCTAATTTTCTTGAAAGTTCTTGTAAAACATTTAAAGTAGCTAAACGAACTTTTGATAAATTTGATCTTGTTTTTAATAAAATTTGATAATGAATTTGTCGCCATAATGGTTCTTCTTTTGTTGCTGATGTTAAATTAACAATACATGGTGAAACATTTTGTTGTATCCATTGAGAATAATCATCATTTGATGTAAAATTTTCTAACTAAAAAATTAAATAATTTTTATAATAAAAGAACAAAAAAAAAAAAATTAGACATACTTGATCAACAATTGGCATCATAAGTAATTGAAAACGTTCGTCATTTATAAATCCTACACTATCAAATAAACATAAATTTGATATTGTACCTAATATTCCATTAATTAATTCAATTTTATTTTCTTCAACATATTTTTTACGAAAATTTATTTTAAATTCATTTGATATTTCATCAGTTTTTGATGAATTTAATTGATTAAGAATATTTGATGAATGTTGAATTATATGACCAGCAAATAATGTAAATAAACCTTTTAATTTTTTTGAAAGTCTATTTTTAATAAAAAAAAAAAAAAAAAAAAACAATAGATTATTTTTAAATAGAAATAAAATTTCTTACATAAATGTTAAACGATAAAATGTTAATGTATATTCTGATGGTGGTTCATTATAAATTGCCCATTCATATATTGTATAAAATAATGGTCGAAATGTTTCTTCTGATAAACGCATAACAAGTTCAGAAAAACAATCAAATATATAATCTTCA